AAAGAATACAAATTTTAGCCCTGGCCAGTTTGTCTCAGTTGGTAAATAAAGATGAATATTAGTAAAAAAACAAACACAAAGTCTGAGTGTCTATCCTGAAAAATAACCAAGACTCACTAGGCAGGTTTGTAAAGTCCCTACACTCTGAATCAATGCAAAAGTTAGAGAATGTTGGAGAAGCTTAAGGTTTGACAGAAGCTCACCTGGAGGTTAGCTGATAAATGCTCAGCTTAAGGCTGATATGAAGGTCAACTAACTTACTAATTGGCTCTTATAGTACGAACCAACCATGCAACCTCAAAGTTTGCTTAGCTCTCTTTGATTTATATTGCAGGCCAGGCAAACTGTACAAGTTCTTAAAAAAAGAAACCTAGAAACTCAATCCCTTCTGCCTACCTCCCTCTCCTTCCATTTTCCCCAATAGCAGAAGTCTCCCTGTAAGTGGTGCGTGATAGAGAGTGGGTTAACGGGGAAGTGGAAGTGATAGAACCTTACCCAGGTGAGTGCTGCACTGTGCTTTTTAAGTGGATGAAGTGTGTTATTTCCAAGGACTTTGCTAAGGAACTTTTAATGATGTTAATTTTTAAGGGCTTTTGCAAAACCACAGATATTTCCAAACTCATCTAATCCAACTTCGTTTTATAGATGAACTATTTTAGTCGCCATGTGGCTTACCTACTATGTCAGAGCAGAACTATTTAACCCCAAGTAACTTGAATTTTTGTCTTGTCACCACACATTTTTTATTTGAAAACTACACCAAACACACTTGGGTTGAGTTCAAGACATACTTTTCTTAGATTCTGTGGAAAGTGAATAGTACCTTAACAAAGTTTTATGTTAGAAGAATGAAACATTGTTTTATGTGACTGTCAGCAGTTTAGTACCAGAAAGATATTTCACATTTGTATGTTTTTAAACACAAGTAAGGCAAATGTTTCAGGGCAACTGATGTAGACCTTGTATTACTTTCCTCATCCAAAATAATTTGTATCCATGGAAACATTCTGAACCAGTCAACTGACCACATTAGATCATCTCACATGAGCTAATACAAAATGAGGTTTTGGATGCTTTTGGTTAGTTAATTGAAATGATGCAAGTTCTTTTGAACTTACCACTAATATTTACTTTTCTGGATTTTGTGTATAAATGTGTTTTTTTTTTTTTAAGAAAAAAGTATAAACTTTTGCTTGATTTTTCCCTCCCACCACTCATTAAGTATTGGCTTTCAGCTAAAGCTCCCAAACTAAGTTGTTTTTCTCTGCTGCTTTTAAGACTTTTTTCTCTTCATCACTGATTTTCAGCTATTTGATTATGATGTGCATAAATAAAAAACTGGTAGTTTTCTGATAGTTCTTCTATTTGGAGTTTGTTGAGCTTCTTGAATTTGTGAGCTTATGGTTTTCTTTAAATGGGAAAATTTTCAGCGCTTATTTCTTCAAAGCTGTTTTTTTCTGTGCCTTTCTTTTCTTATTTTATACAATATACTGCTTTATATAGCCCCATAGATTACTGGTGCTCTGTTCTTTTTCATCTACATCTTTTTCTCTGATTCATTTTAGATCGTTTCTGTTGCTATGTCTTCAAGTTCACTAATCTTTTTTTCTGCTATGTCTAATCTGTTTTAATCCCATCCAGAGTATTTTTCATTTCAGGTATATTTTTTTATCTCTTCCACTTAAGTCATTCCTGTTACGTTTCTATTGGTTTTTTTCCTGGTTTGGCCATATCTTTATATCTCTTTAGTAATTTTTTTTTTTAATCCTCACTCGAGGACATTTTTTCATTTATCTTCAGATAGAGCAGGAGGGAGAGAGGGAGAAAGAGAGAGAGAGAAACATTGATATGAGAGAGACACATTGAGTAGCTGCCACCCACATGACCCCAACCGGGGCTGGGGATAAACTGCAACCAAAGCACGTGCCGTTAGTGGGAACCGAACCGGGGACTCTGGTCCACGGGCCAGTGCTCTAACCACTGAGAAAACCGGCCAGGACTCTTTGGTAATTTTTGATAGGTCATACTTTGTACATTTAATTTATAAGGTATTAGACTTTTCTTTTTAAAAATTCCTTTAAATAATGTTGGACTTTGTTCTGACATGTAATTAAGTTGCTAAGTTACTGAGATGGAATGTAAACTAGTATTTCCAACAAATGTGAATAGCATCTTGGCTGAGTTAAGTAAATCCTAAGAAAGTATTAAATATATGGCCTTATCTTTGTGTAATGCCGATCCTAAAATTTATTTATGAATTATAAATGTAGTGGCTGGCAGTACCACATGGCATTTTTCCTACCTCCTTTTCTGTGATGCATAATAAATAGGGATGAAATGTATTATGTTTTATATTATTTTAATAATTTTTATGATTATCTTCACTTCCATGTGATTTTTTTTTAACATTGCACCAACTTTATTTAGTTCCTATTAAATTTTTTTTTAAAAAAGGAGATACCTAAAATTTTATTAATTTTTAATAATGTATTTATTGCCCTGGCCGGTTTGGCACAGCAGTTAGAGCATCGGCCCATGGACCAGAGAGACCCAGGTTTGGTTCCTGCTAAGGGCACCTACCTCCGTTGCAGTGTGTCCCCAGGTCCGGTTGGGGTTGTGTGGGTGGCAACCACTCAGTGTGTGTCTCTCTCACATCGATGTTTTTTTTTTTCCTCTCTCTCTCTTTCTCCCTCTCTCCCTCCTGCTGTATCAAGATGAATGTAAAAATGTCCTTGGGTGAGGATAAAAAAAAAATGTATTTATTATTTATTCTATTTATTGGGATGACATTGGTTAATAAAATTATATAGGTTTCAGGTGTACAGTTCTGTAATACATCATCTGTATATTGTGTGTTACCACCCCAAGTCCTGTCTCCTTCCATCACCATTTATCCCCCCTTTACCCTCTTCTACCTCCCACCTCCCTTTCCTTCTGGTCATCAATGTACTGTTGTCTGTGTCTATGAGTTTGTTTTTTGCTTAATACCTTTACCTTTTTCACCCAGCCTGCCAATCCCCCTCCCCTCTGACAGCTGTCAGCTTGTTCTCATGAGTCTCTATTTTTTTAACTTTTATCCCCTTCACCTGAGGATATGTTTATTAATTTTAGAGAAGGAGGAACAGAGAGAGAGAGACAGAGACAGAGACAGAGACATCAGTGTGAGAGAGAAACATTGGTCGGTTGCCTCCCGTACGCACCCTGACCGGGGTTCTAACCCACAACCTAGGCATGTGTCCTGACTGGGAATTGAATTCAAAAGCTTTTGGTGTATGGGACGACACTCTAGCCAACTGACCCACCTGGCCAGGGTGACAAATTTCTCTCTAATTTTAAGCAGATGCTTAAAGAACTTGGGTTCTCTCAATGGGTGGTGAGTGAATAAAATGACTTCTAAGGCTGTAATACGAGTAGTAACAATCATTTAGTAAAGCCTCACTCTGTTATTACTCATTAAGCATGCATTATTGGAGTTAATCCTTCTGGTATGGAGTCTAAATATTTATTATCCTTATTTTGTAAATGTGCAATGTGGATTTTAAATAATTTGACCAAAGCCCACATAGCTAGTAACCCAGACAGGCAGGATTTGAACCTAAGTCCCTCACACCACAAAGCCTTTGCTGTTGATCATTCTAAAACCTGTGCTAGTCACCACTAAAACAAATGGAAATGAAATTTGCAGCCTTGGCAGTATAGCATGTCCTTTCATCAGACAAGTCAACTATTGTGTGGTGAGTGTAGAAGCAAGGGATATAGGGAATTTCAGGGTAATCTGTGTTATATTGCTTTTGTATTATTTTGTGAGACTTAAATAATAAGTTAGCCTAAGGGAATAGGTGCATCTAAAACTTATTTCTAATTTTTCTCATGGTTTAATTAGTTTTCGTTAGCTTTTGGGTATTTCACTTGTGTGTCTTATTGTGTGTGCACATATGTGTGGGGCATGTATACAAAAGTATCTAGAGCCATCTTATGTGATCAAAATCAGCTTTTGAACTTTGGAGGGATTCCTTACAGATTACAGTACTGTGAATTTATATAATTCTGCAGCATTATTATTTTTTAAAGATAACTTATTTTCTGAAGTTTTATCTGTCAGTCCATTTCAATAATAATGGTATCATACATTTTAGAGTGGTTTTTGTTTTTTCCTCATGATTTTGAAATAGATTTGATTTTATAACAGTATGTATCCTGCCAGGAAGAAAACTGGATATATCTTAGATATAGTTGGGAGTTATGTTTATAGAATATAAAGTATATGTCATAAAGAATATTCAGAGTGGTATAGACTGATGATGAATATTTGAAAGGAACTTGGTGACTGATTCCTCCTCATTTGCTGTTTTGGAATTGTGTTTGTTCTCAGTTTATACCATTCAATTTTATTTTGTTAGCTTTGCAAAAGCAGAACTTTATTATTACTTGAGAAGTCTGGGGACAGGGAATTGGCAGGAAGTGACTGCAGAAAACAAGTTAATGAGGAATTGCATTTTGAAGGCGAAGACAAACTGATTCCTTTTTCCTCTTCCACAGCATCCTCCTCTCCCACACCCTCACCTGCCCTGTAGTGTTTATCAGAGAACATAGAAAAGTTGACTTGCTGTATGTGATCAGTTGGGTCTAGTTAAGTGTTCCTGTGCTTTCTGTCATGTGTGCTTTGGAAAGACAGGCGCTCTGAGTCAGGGCACTCCCCCACCCAGGTCATCTGTGGCGAGCGCACAGATGCGTACTTAGTTCTGTCTGATTTGTGTCTTTTAGCTCTTTTTTCCTTAATCTGTAAGTTTTTAGTTGTAAACTTTATTTATGTTACTAAGCGTTCTATGAACAACAGAAACTGCTCATCACTCTGCCATGTGGCAAGAGCAGCCACAATTAGCCATCACTTCCTCTGAGTGAAAGAGTAGGTCCTATGAGTCTTCACAAGCACAGACAGAGAGATTAAATTTGAACTCACTATAATCTTGAATATTTTCTCTGCTAATTGTCTTTCACAGGCAAGAGTGCACACTGGGAGGTGCAACCTGCAAGGATTCTGAATCTGACGTGGAGGAGTTTTCAGATGAAACAAACACAGAGACCCTTTATGGCACCTCTCCCCCCAGTACACCTCGACAGATGAAGCGCATGTCCACCAAACACCAGAGGAATAATGTAGGGAGGCCTGCTAGTCGCTCTAATTTGAAAGGTAAGTCTTGTACTTGGAAAGATACTGAGAGGGTATCTTAATTAATTTAATGGTACATAATTTAAAAAAAAAAAAATCCTCACTCCAGGAAATGTTTTTATTAATTTTAAAGAGAGAGGATGTGGGGAAGAGAGAGAGAAACATTGATTAGTTGTCTCCCATTTGCACCCTGACCGGGGATCAAACCCACAACCTAGGTATGTGTTCTCATCAGGAATCGAACCCACAACCTTTTGGTGTATGGGACGATGATCCAACCAACTGAGCTACCCAGCCAGGGTCTGGTGCATAATCTTTATATACCAGGTAACCGTTGATTGATCCTTTCTACCATGATCTTAGTTATTCCTTTTTTTTAAAAATTTGATTTTAATGCTGCTTTTACATTCAGTTTTTAAATTAAAATTTTTTTACCATTAGCTGTATTATTAGTAAAGGAGAAACTAAGTCTCCCAAGATAGAAAGTTTTTTCCTATGTAATTCTTAAAGTCATTTGTATGTTTTTGAGTACAAAGGTTGTGAAAGAGGCCAAGTGTGGATGAATCCACATACTTACCTAGGGTGGATACGGGTGTATGAGATAAATGGCCTTCTTTTATCCTCTGACTCTCACAGGCTAAAGTGTCTGGATTCTGTTGTCTAGGTATGATGGACGTAGTGGGCCACTGGGAGAGGCAGAGCCAGACTTCTTTCCCAGGATGCCTTAGGCAGCCTGAGACCTGTGTTCTCTGTTCATGACTGTGAGGCTGCCCTTAGAACGTAGGGCCCTTTTCCTCGCTCAGCGCAGTTCCTGGGTGGTCCACCATGCCTCACACCCGCGGGCAGATCCTTTGCTCTGCTTTTCTTGTTGGTTAGAATCCCACAGCTCCTGGAAGCTCTCTGTTTTCATTTCTTCCTTCCTCCTAGCATGCCAGAGCTGTTCTTTCTAAAGGTAGATGATTAAATCATGGTCACCTGTTGCCTCCTTGTACCCTACTTTCTTGCTTGGAAGCTCAGGTCACTGAAGCCTATGGCATTAGAATTCCCCTGTTAATTTCAGCAAACCACTTGTCCTAAAACTGATCACGTAGCCTCCTGGAATTCATTCATCTGTTACTGCACAAGACAGGGATTTCATATTCTATCTCATCTGAGAAATTTCCCCATCTTCTCCCTGCTAAAATCAGATCCATTCCCATTTCTCCCTTCTTCATCCCATGTTTTTCCTCTCCGGCCAGACTCCCCTTCCCACAGTCTGGCACATTGGTCCCCCATGGTCATGAGTGTCCCTATCCTAGAGAGAGGAGTGCAAGAGAAATGGATTTTATTGTATTTACTTGCTTGCGTCAACTCTTATCCAAGGAAGAATTCTTAAGTGTGACTTGTCCTTCTTTCCCATAGGGAAGATGATTTTTTTTTTTTTACTTTCTTTTAAAACTTTATTTGCCATAGGATGTTAAACTGTGGCCTGTACTTGCCCCCTTTGGAAATTAATAGGTTTCCATCTCAATTTCTCATCTTTAAAATTAATCCTTATCCATTTTCTCAGAAGAAAATTTTCAAATGCCTATAGAAATTTCTTAAATGTTATCTTTGAAGCAGCATCTACTGAATCAGAATTAATGCATATTTACTTCGTGGTGGTGAAGTGAGAAAATCTACCAGTACATCTGCCTTTTCTTCACTTGTTGCTTCATACAGTTTAGAACAGGAATTGAGAGCACATGTCCCCATTTTGTAGATGGAGAAATGGAGGCCTGGGGTTTTAAAGCAGCTTCTTTAAGGTCAGAAGGCTTGAGATAGTGGCAGGACTATGTTTAGAACTGGTCCTCTTGGTGCATGATTTGCACTTTTTCCCAGTGCAAGCGGCAGGGTTCAGTGCACCTGAACGCAGTACTTGAACTGACTGGACCACTCTTCACTCAACAGTCTGAAAACCAGTCACTAGATATTTGTTGAGCTCCTCCTGTCCTTCTGGGCTGTATGGGAGATAGAGGAAGAGGGAAGGTTGTCTCTTTTCCTCTTCAACGTCTTTCAATTGTTTATTTCATAAAATTAGAGATTTTTAGATGTGGAAGGGGTCTCAGAGACCACTTACTCCCTTCCTGCCATTTTCCAGGTGAAGAAGCGAATGCCCACAAACCTGAATTGTAGCTGTCTAAGACCCAGGGGACCAAAATTCTTGATAAATTACTCTTTGTGCAAAAGATGACATGTTTATTGTAGGAATTTTGAAAATACAGACAAAAAAGTAGAAGTTGTAAGGCTTCTGACGACTTAGCCTGGGAAGTGACATAGTAGCACTTCGGCTGCATTCTTTTGGCTTCGCAGGGCCAGCCCAGGTTCATTGTGGGAGGGGGCGCCGCATGGCATCAGCACCAGGAGCTGTGGCTCTTGGGTGATCTGAGAGACCAGCTCCTACCTGCGTGCAAAGCTTTGGGGAATTAGTGTCTGGTTGGCCATACTGTCTTTGTACTCTCCAGTCCCTCCCTCATAAATGGAGACCACTGAGAATCCCTGAAGGAATACAAGGGCACAGACAGGTAGCTGAGAGTACTGTATGTGGGAAGGAAGTGAGAGTAACCATTAACACTATTTTTTTGGTGATAGTAGATGGTTGCGATTGTCATGAACTGATTATATGGATATGAATTATTAAATATTTTTATTTATAAAAATGAAATCTGTAACATTAGTAGTTACTCACTATTCTAGTCAGATTTTCTTTTCTGCCTGTCTTTTCATGCTCTTTGGCTTGAAATACCCTTTTGCCTTCCTTACTACCCTTATTTGAGTGGAGTCCATCCTTCAAGGCCTTTGGTCAAGTATTTGGTCTTACTTAAGCCGTTACAGATTAGTTAGCCCACTGTCATCTGCCTTTTAGGGTACTCAATGTCTTAACCTTTTTTTGGTCAGCCTGCACTGACCTGTGAGCAACCTTGACTGTGTAAAGTGGTATGATGGCATGAATATAGGTCAGGATCCCTGTCCTGACATCTGTCTGACATCTGTGTTCATTATTATCTTCATTACGGTGTTGTAAAGATTATGACAATCTATAAAGCCCTTATCTTGAAAATGAGGGGATTGAATCAAACACTGTTTCCCGAGATGTGGTGTCATTCTGCCATGTTTAATCAGAGACACGGTGAGTGGGCCCAGGGATCTGAATTTTAGCAAGAACCTGAGTGATTTTTAATGTTTACTGAAATTTGAGAGCCTTGAATTAGATCTCTGAGCCCCTTCAGATTGCTGTCATTGACAGCCTAGTACATTGTTGTTCTAATGATCATCTCCCATTTAAAGATGAAGAGCAGCCATGCACTTATGCTTTCTCTTTTGAGAGCTTGAGGAAAGCCACTGTGTCCACTCTGACAACACACATGTGGGAGAACAGAAGAATTGCAAGTACTTGATAAAAAAATACATTTTAGCCCTGGCCGGTTTGGCTCAGCGGTTAGAGCATCGGCCTGCGGTACAGAGAGACCCGGGTTCGGTTCCCGCTAAGGGCACGTACCTCGGTTGCAGTTTGTCCCTGGCCCTGGTTGGTCGTGCGGGTGGCAGCCACTCGATGTGTCCCTTCACATCGACGTTTCTCTCTCTCTCTCTTCCTCTCTCTCTCTCCCGCTCTATCTGAACAAAAAATGGAAAAATGTCCTCGGGTGAGGATAAAAAAAAAAAACATTTTATACATATTCCAAAGAGCCATTTCTAGGTGAGGATGGCAGGGAATTCATGTGATTGTCTTATATCTGTTTACTCATGTAAAGCACATTGCTTGCCGTTTGGTTGCTTTCGGTTTCATTATAAACATTATTTTTCTTTTCCTTTCCTCTTCTCATGTGGTAGAATTACTGGTGACTGACCGAAGGAAAAACTAACTATTCTGGAGGTTTGCTTTAACTGTACTATCAAGCTGTACCGTTTAATTTATAGCCACTTGGGAGACTAGCTGTCCCCATTAGTCTTACCAAAGCTATTAGAAACTGGTTTTGTAGTACTGTAATTAGAACTTGTTATGTAAAACATTCTGTATACTTTTGATCCATTATTCTTTTCAGAAGCTCTGTTTATATTTGACTTTTTGTTAATTGCAGAGGAACTTAGTATTTACAGAAATCTAAACGAACAATCCTGTCCATTAGTTATGGGCACTTACTTATTTATTTATTATTTATTATATATATTATTTATTAAGTAACTTTTCATAGAAGTTTTGATAATGTTAGAGTGGGTAAAGACAGAATAGAAAGTGCTGGGGAAATTACCGTGTCCAGAGGATTAACAACAACAACAACAAAACAACTCAGTGAAACCTTGCAAAGGCAGTGGGAAGAGAAATGAAGCCGGACAGTGACAGAATCACCAGGGTTCTGCAGAGGCTCTTCAGTTTCTCCTGTCACTCAGTTTGCAGTCTCGGCCCATCTGAGGAGGAATATGGGTGTTACAGCAGTGGCATTTAATAAGGAACTTGATCCTGTACAAGAACTCTTTGTGGACAAGTTAGAGAATACAGAACTAAGCGACAGTCATTTGGAGGACCTGCTGATACTGGCCCAGAGTATCAGCAGGAGTTGGAGAGGGAGCTTTTTAAACTTAAGCAAATGTATGGTAAAGTAGACATGAATGCGTTTCCTGACTTCAAATTTGAAGATCCCAAATTTGAAGTCATGGAAAATTCCCAGCCCTGAAGAAATATAAAATTTGTTTGTTAATTTGCCCTAGGTAAATTGTACAACCGATCAGAAGTGTCAGAATAAACATACATTTCAACAACAACAAAATTACTATGTCTAAGCTGAAAGGTTTTTTTCCCCCTGACGCCCTAATGCTTCTCAGATCTCCCTTAACAGATAGGTCCCTTGTGATTTTATTAATCCTCACCCAAATATATTTTTCATTGATTTTTAGATAGAGTGGAAAGGAGGGAAGGAGAGAGGGAGTGAGACATACACACACACACACACACACACAGAGAGAGAGAGAGAGAGATAAGAGAGAGAGAGAGAGAGAGAGAGAGAGATAAGAGAGACATATTGATTGGTTGCCTCCCATTGGGGATTGAACCTGCAACCCAGGTATGTGCCCTTGACTGGGAATCGAACCTGAGACCTTTGGTCTTCGGGCTGACACTGTAACCACTGAGCCAAACCAGCCAAACTGGGCAGGTCCTTTGTGATTTTAGAGAGGCCTTCTTGGTCACTGAGCATTAGAAGATTCTGTTGCTTTCCTCTCTCCATCACAAATATATTATTTGAAAAATATAGCTCCTGATAAGGTAAATTGGTATTTTCTTTTTGCACAGTAGTTAGACTGGGGTTTAAATCTATTTTAAGTTTAAATTACATAATTTTAAAGATATATCAGTTTCAACTTATTTATTTTTTTCAAAACAAATTTGGACTTTTGGGAAAAAAAATAGCTTCTTTGTCCCATCTTATCCCAATTTGCTTTTCTCTACACACATTCTAAATCCAAATATTAAACCATTGCTTTTTATAAACACAGGATTTCAAAAAGTTGTGTAGGATACCATGTGTATGCTATAAGTAAGGTAGGCTTACCAAGATTTGCATATAACCTACAAAAGTTAGTTTTATTGGCTTGCTGAAATTTCTCTCTATACAGAAAAATCGGATTGTGATATTTTTTGGATGCATATATTAGTTAACAACTCATTCTGTTCTAGGTTCACTTTGCATCTCTTTTGAACAGTTTTCTTGGACATTCTTATGTGCTCTCCTGGTATTAAATAACATCAGTATATATTGATGATTTCCAAATCAATATCTCTGGATTTCTTTCCTGAGTTTACAACCCATAAATTAGTTATGTACACACATCTGCACATGATGTCCTATAGGCACATCAAATTCAGTGTATTAGAAACTGAACTCATTGCCTGGCTGGTGTGGTTCTGTGGACTGAGTGTCATCCCATGGACTGAGAGGTCCCTGTTTGATTCCCAGTCAGGGCACATGCCCAGGTTGCAGGCTTGATCCCCGTAGGGGGCATGCAGGAGGCAGCCGCTCATTGTTTCTCTCTCACATTTATGTTTCTGTCTTTCTCCCTTCCTCTCTCTCTAGATAACCAATAAAAACATATTAAGAAAAAAACTGAACTCATTATCTTTATCTCCAATCTTACCAGTGATACCATGTATATATCATTTGGTGATTCATAGGAACAAAGTATAGTATGAATTGGTATCTTGAAAAATGGAATATAGTGTACTTAAATTTGGAAGCTCTTGTTAGCTTTGCTCTACTAAGTAGAAATGAATGATATGTATCTGCTATATTAGTGAAGGTATAAAGAATACTATTGAACAAACAACAAAGAGAAGGCAAAGGGCTGGCCTGGCAAATTGTTTTTTTTTTTTAATCCTCACCCGAGGACATTTCTCCATTTTTTGTTCAGATAGAGTTGGAGGGATAAAGAGGAAGAGAGAGAGAGAGAAACATCAATGTGAAAGGGACACATCGAGTGGCTGCCACCCACACAACCAACCAGGGCTGGGGACAAACTGCAACCGAGGTACATGCCCTTAGCGGGAACCAAACTTAGGTCTCTCCAGACTGCAGGCCGACGCTCTAACCGCTGAGCCAAACCGGCCAGGGCCTGGCAACTTTTTTATGAAGGGATTGATAAGCATTTCCAGCTAGAAACAATAAAATTGTGAAGAAATTTCTTAATGGATTGTATAAAAAGTTTTAAGACATTCAGAAATAAAATAGATTAAAACTACAGATAAAAATTCCATCATTTAAAAATATTGCTAATTTACATAATAAATTATAATAGTTTCATATCAAAATAGGCAAAAATCCCTATAGACAAATAAATCCTTTTTGAGGAATCATAAAGGAAATTTAAATATACTGTGAAATCAAGTTGGAGGTACTCTTAGGAATATTTTGTTTCGAAATTCTTATTTTAAAACTAATTTAGATTACCTCAGGGTACATAGTATAGTACACAGATGATATAGAATTGTACACCTGAAACCTATATAATTTTATTAACCATTGCCACCCTAATAAATTCAATTAAAAAGGAATTTAATTTAATTGATTAGGAGGTAAATTGGCTTCAAATAAATTTTCTTTGGTGAATTGATTTTGGATATTAGTCTGTAACACGTATAAATATACACTATTTCATCACATCTAAAGGCATACTATAATATTACATACTGAGAAAAAATGCTTACAAATGACATAGTGTATTATACTTAGAATATTTATTTTTATTTATTAAAATAACTCTTTTATAATTAATATTTAGGTGTATATTTTAAAAAGCCACTTATTACTTTAATGTGTGTATATATATACACATATATGAAAATGTAAATGAAATATATTAGTGAATATGTTCCTAAAACATACTCATAGTATCATTAATTATAACATATACTCTAATTTTAGAGTTATAAAAATAGAAAATGTTTGTCCTGGATTCAGTGAAAGCAAAGTGCATGTTGAGGGTTGAGGAGAGACTGGGACGTGGGTACAGCTTTGGGCATTATCAGGACATGAAGTGGAAGTGAAGGAGGTCACCCAGGGAGAGGGCAGTAGGACAGAGGTTCTTGGATAGAGTGGAGCTTTGAGAAGCGTTAACTTTCTATGGAGTGAGCAAAGTTCCAAGGAGGAAACTTGAAAAGGAGTGACTTGAGAACCTCAAGACTGCCGTGTTTAGAAATCAACAGATGAGGGATTTCAGGAAGTATTCAATAGTGTCAAAAGTGCCAAATAGGAAGAAATGTTTGTGTGTGTTCATTTCAAAACTTGAAAATTAAGTTAATAGAACTTTTTACTGTTTGAAGGAAAAGTGTGATGTTTACTTTCTTTGCATTAATTTTGAATGATTTAATGTGCCATTATGACACACTAGACAGGTTATATTAAATTAGTCACCTTTCTTTTTTTTTCCCTTTATTGATTTTAGAGAGAGAGGAAGTGAGAGGGAGAGAGAGATAGAAACATCGATAAGAGGAAACATTGATGAGCGAGAACATCGACTGGCCGCCTCCTGCATGCTCCCACACAGGAGATCGGGCCCACAACCTGGGCATGTGTCCTGACCGGGAATCGAACCGGCAACCTCTTGGTGCATGGGTCGATGCTCAACCACTGAGCCACACCAGCCGGACACATTTCTTTCTTTCTTTTTTAAATATATTTTTATTGATTTTAGAGAGAGGAAGGGAGGGAGAGTGGGGGAGAGAGAGGGAAACATCAGTGAGAGAAACATCGATCGGCTGCCACCTGCACACCTCCCACTGGGGATCGAGCCCACAACCCCGGGCATGTGACCTGACTGGGAATCGAACCAGGACCTCTCAGTCCATGGGACACACTCAGTCCACTGAGCCACACCAGGGTTTACAATTTTTGCTTATCATCTGTCTTTCAGTTTTCCATGAGAACAATATTAAAGTGCCTTAAGAATTGTTTCCTCAATCTACTTCATTTTACAAATGAGAAAAGTGACCCAGAAAACTTAAGTGATTTGCTCCAAGCTTATTCATTTAGTTCATGGCAAAGGAAGGACTCTTGAGGTGTTTTCTAAATCAGGTGTCTGTCAAATCTGCCCTACTGTTTCTCCCTTCTTTTTTTTTTTTTTATCCTCACCTGAGGACATCTTTGCATTTATCTTCAGATAGAGCAGGAGGGAGGGAGGGAGGGAGGGAGGGAGAGGGAGAGAGAGAGAGAGAGAGAGAGAGAGAGAGAGAGAGAGAGAGATGTGAGAGAGACACATCGACTGGTTGCCACCTGCACAACCCCAACCGGGGTCGGGGACAAACTGCAACTGAGGTACGTGCCCTTAGCGGGAACTGAACTTGGGTCTCACTGGTTCACCGGCTCACGCTCTAACCGCTGAGCCAAACAGGTCAGGGCTGTTTCTCCCTTCTAAGCTGAAGGTGATAGATGATTTGTGAAGATTTGACTAGCTGGATAACTGTAGTTCATAGTGTTGAGGTAAGCAGCTTGTTTTAGGTTAGTAGTGGGGAATATTAAAATACAGCATGTATAATACAGCGGGGAAAATGGATAAAATTTGTTTAAAAATTTAGAGAGAAATGTTACGTATATTTTGATTCTTTTAACTTTCAGCATGTGGTATGATTTTTCCCATCCAATAACAGCTTGAAAATATAAGTACATGTGAATATCAGTTTTATTGAAAATATTGAGAGTAGCTTCATATTTTAGAGTAATATAATGTTGTTTATTTTTTAATAGAAAAAATGAATACATCAAACCAGCCTCCACATAAAGACACTGGAAAAATCGAGGAGAAAAAGATCCGAGCAGCTATTAGGACAACAGAGCGCGATCATAAGAAAAATGTGCAGTGCTCATTCATGTTGGACTCAGTGGGTGGATCTTTGCCCAAAAAATCAATTCCAGATGTGGATCTCAATAAGCCTTACCTCAGTCTCGGCTGCAGCAACGCCAAGCTTCCGGTGTCTGTGCCCATGCCTATAGCGAGAACTGCACGCCAGACTTCTAGGACGGACTGTCCAGCAGATCGCTTGAAGTTTTTTGAAACTTTACGACTTCTGCTAAAGCTTACCTCAGTCTCAAAAAAGAAGGACAGGGAGCAAAGAGGACAGGAAAATACATCTGCTTTCTGGTTTAACCGATCGAATGAACTGATCTGGTTAGAGCTGCAAGCCTGGCATGCGGGACGGACCATCAACGACCAGGACCTCTTTTTATATACAGCCCGACAAGCCATACCAGACATCATCAATGAGATCCTTACTTTCAAAGTTAATTATGGGAGCTTTGCCTTTGTTAGAAATGGAGCTAGTTTTAATGGTACCCCAGTAGAAGGACAGTGCAAAGCGCCTCATGGAACAAGGATTGTGGGGTTTCCAACATATCATGAGCATCTACAGCGCCAGAGGGTGTCATTTGAGCAGGTGAAACGGATAATGGAGCTGCTGGAGTACATAGAAGCACTTTATCCATCATTGCAGGCTCTTCAAAAGGACTATGAAAAATATGCTGCAAAAGACTTTCAGGACAGGGTGCAGGCACTCTGTTTGTGGTTAAACATCACAAAAGACTTAAATCAGAAGTTAAGGATTATGGGCACTGTTTTGGGCATCAAGAATTTATCAGACATTGGCTGGCCAGTGTTTGAAATCTCTTCCCCTAGATCGTCCAAAGGCAATGAGCCAGAAGATGAGGGAGATGACACAGAAGGAGAATTAAAAGAGTTGGAGAGTAGCTCAGATGAGGATGAAGAACAGCTTTCTGATCCAACGGTGCCAGAAACCAGACAGCCCACTGACAACACTTTCAACTTCCAGTCGCAGGACTGCACAGCTAAGAAGCTTGAGAGGCTTGAATCTGAGGACGATTCTGTTGGCTGGGGAACGCCAGACTGCAGCACAGAAGCAGGCTTTAGTAGATATTGTCTGACTTCTATTTATAGACCATTTGTAGACAAAGCACTGAAGCAGATGGGATTAAGAAAGCTAATTTTAAGACTTCACAAGCTGATGGATGGTTCTTTGCAAAGGGCCCGTATAGCACTGGTAAAGAGTGATCATCCAGTGGAGGTAGGTTTCCAGTAGGCATTTGTATGGTCTTCTCTTTAGTTCCATCATTACTTGTAAATTACAATGTATGTTGTGTTGATTATTACATACGTTCATGGTCTTGATATTTTTAAGGCATAAGTGGTAGTTATTATAAATTGCAGATTTAAACATTTCTATAAAGTACTGTGATAAATGGAGAAATGGATCTATGAAAACTGTATAAAATTTAGTGAATTAAGTATAAGGTGGTGTGTGGAGGAAAAAAAATGCAACCATATAAATATAGGATGGAGAAGGACAGGCTAGGTATAAATAAAGAGGGAGGAAAGCCACAGTCATGGGTGACCGCAAGCTGAATATGAGTTGTTCAAAAAGTCAACATGATGCTAAAATATTTTTAAATGAATATGGCATCCAAGGTCATGGATATAGTTCTTTCTCTATACTTTGCAATAGCTTACTCCTTTTTTGAGTAGCATGTCCCGTTTGGTCACTGGATGTTAAAGAAATATGAATTGTAAAGAACTGAGAATGATCAAAGGAAAAAAGTATACACTTTGGTAAGGTTTAGCATAGTTAATGGAGATCTAAGGGAAGTCTTAATTATTATCACATATGTATTTCAATTGGTGAAGATTTTTGTGAAAGCAATATGCCTGTTAGAGGAAGTGGTTTGAAATTGGATTTTGTACACATTTAGTTTTGAGATCTCCAGCTGTCTATTGGTAAGTGGTAAAACCAAAGGGCCATACTGTGGATATTGTTCTTGAGAATAAAAGAGTCCAAGCAGTTTTTCTGTGGTGAGTGTGCATGTTCATTTGGCTGAAAGCAAAAGGACCCAGGTCTGTGAGATTCCTTCTGCCTGTGTGAGGCTGTGGCTCTAACTTTTAGGAGCTATCTACAATGTGCATGCCTTTTTAACTTCATTTTATTACATACTCTGAAAAATAATTTATTTTTAGACTGATGGTCATCAGGTCATGGGGAACCCCTAGGAGGAGTGGTCAAGTATTCACATAATATAGCAAGATATTTGCAAAATGAGTCAATATTTTGTAACTATAGGAGGTTAGTTTACTTTGAGTATTATTTTGGTTAGAAATCTTAAAAATTAATCTACATTATGATTTTCTTTGAGCAGTATTTTAACTTTGAATGAATTTTATGTACATCATTTTTTTTTTTTTTTTGAGTAAATGAACCCCCCCTTTAGTTTGTGAATAACTATTTTATAATAAGATTTATTGAAGTGCAGGTTTCAAAATTAGTAGAACAAAAGTAGATCTGTAATAAGGATTTGTTATACGTTTCAGATGGGGAATAATTTATTTGGTTTTGGTTTTTGGCCGGAATGGTTCAGTTCCAATGAGGGCACGTGTGGGCAAGACAGGGTTGATAATTACTTTTTATTGTGAAGCAATATGAATGAAAAGGCTCTGGCAGTATTACTGCATCTCTGATTCAGTGATATCCTAGGAGAGGGGCTGGTGGTATGTTGGTGAGGGCTCTGGGAGCTGTGTCCAGGCTTCTTACAACTGCTTTATGTGTTGTCCCCTACATTGTCTCTCCCCCTGACCCTCTGTGGCAACGAACCATTGTTATTAAAAGAGAGTGTTTTGCATCCTTAGATGTGTTGGGACAAGAAAAACAGCGAGAATGAGGGCACTGCATTTTATGTTAGGATTTATGTTGAAAAAAGAAAGTAGTAGGTAGCCCATCATTTTGGATTTCCATCAAAGTTGTGTTCCTTTGGTTGACCAAGTAAGATTTAACTGAAAAGGTTATCCTTGTCATAGAAGAAAAGAAACATAAAAATTCAAAACTTATTAAGTGTGTGATTAAAGATTTGTTTATTCAGATTATCTGTAGATTGCTTTTCAAAAAAAAAAAAAATGAAGTACAGAAGCCACCATTATTTTAAATTTTAGTTTATAAAATGTTGTGTTTATCAAATAATGAAAGGGTAGCCGAAAGCTAAAGTAGGAACTTTTCTGTCTTGGAGATGAATCCAGATTAATAAAAGATGAGGCTCTGAAATAATTAACTCAGTAGGAAAGTAAGACTTTATTTTTATTCCTATTTTAGGAACATAATTCTATAAGGGAAGGGGGATATATATATATATATATATATATATACACACACACACACACACACACATACATGTACACTCCCGTCTGAGTTAGTCTTTTTACTAAGTGTGTTGGAGAATGATCCACAGTTTTGAGGTCAAATAACTGGATTCCATTCCTTGATGTGGTGGTTCTTTCTCACCACATAACTTTGTAAATGACTTAATCTTTCTGACTCTAAGTTTTCACATCTGTAAAATAGGTATAATACCTTCCTACCTACCTCACAGGGTTGTTGTGAGGTTTAAAAAGACATAGTACAATGCTGTAGAAGTCAAATATAAACTATTCTTTCTTAAGTTTTGCTACATCTTTTCCTCCCTTGAAGCTACGTATAAGTCTGTATGGGCTAGACTATTCTATATTTTTGTTTTAAAAATGTTTTTACCTTCTAATTACCAAATAATTGTGTATTTTGGGGACATATTAAGCAGTGCATAACCTTTTAGGTTTGGGAATGATTTTCAAAAAAATATTTTTAATTGATTTTTAGAGAGAGGGGGGAGAAAGGGGTGGGGGGAATACTGAATGGCTGTCTCCTGCATGCCCCATACTGGAGATAAAGCCTGAAACCTGGACATGTGCCCTGACCAGGAATCAAACCAGCAGCCTTTCAATGCATGAGACAATGCACAACCAACTGAGCCATACTGGCCAGGGCATTTGAGAATGATTTTATTATCATTCTTAATTGTTAGAAACATCTTAACCAACCTCAGATTGTACTCAGTACGTATCTTCTAGTTTGCACTGTTTTTATGGCTTATGGGGTAATAGTAATGAATATAGTTGAAGGGTTTTGTAGAAAAGAAGAAATATATTCATGATCTTTGATTTTTAAAATCTATTTGTATTATTATTATGAATTAGTTAACTGTAACTAGAGTTTATAAATAACATGTGATCTTATACTTAATTCCTCTTGGATTGTAAGTATGCTTTATAGAACAATTTTCCTCCAAAATTTTATTATTATATTTTACAATCTTTAAATTGAAAATAATACAACAAGTGATACAAAAAAATATCTATTTGCAATTTGTCTTAATAATATGAATATCATAAATAGTCTTAATGTTTTGTTGAAAATTATGTAACCTTATAGCTCCCTAGCTTCTGTAAATTTATATTCTTAGGACAAGTTTCTAATTACATGTATTGTCTCTGATTAACAGATGGATTAGTTTCCAAAGTTCACCTTGTAGGATAGTTATTGGGATCTTGAAAATACGTATCTAGAGAAACTGCTGTAAATGAGAGACTCTCAGGCCATCACATAAAACTTATTTAAATCTAAGTAACTGAACTAATAATGCAAGCCAAAATTTTATTTCTGGTAGCAAGGACAACATAATAACACAAGAGAGAAACAAAGAGAACTCAAAGATAGACCAGAACTCATTTTCTCCTCCTTGTTTGGGCTCAGAGATGATTCTAGTTCTTTTTCATTCTTACTCGTTTATTTCATGGTTTTCTTATTCTCTTGGTATTTGGAGCATCCCAGGAACTCATTGTTCTTACTTATTTCTCTCATTTGCTGTAATCTAAGTTCCTCTAATCTAAGCTTGGTTGATGTCAAGTTTTAGGAATGAATGTATCCTATTGCCTTTTTATAATAATAAATGCTGGTGTCCCAGCTTCCAAATCCTGCTCCTTGTTCGCTAGGTACTACTTGTAGAGTGACCCTTCCTAACTTTCCTTAAAAATTAATAGGAATCATCTCAGCAGTTCAGTAATTTCTAGGTGCCCTTCCCAATAGTTACTGCAGGGTTTTGTTATTTACAGTTATATTTTGCTATATTATTTGCAATTATAGTTTAAAAATTAAAACAAGAGACCTATATAAAAGATTTATCCTTAATCTTTAAATATATATAAGATTTATATATATAACATATATAAACATACATAAAAGATTAATCCTTATATAAAAGATTTATCCTTAATGTCATATATAGGCATATACATTAAAGATATATATATATAAATTATTTATTCTTATTGTCAAAACTACACCCATGCAATTGCATTCTCTCTCCTTTTTTCAAATAAACATGCAATCTTAGAATAATTTTAGATTTATAGAAAACGTGCGAAGATGGTACGAAGCGTTGCTCTTCATCCAGTTTCCTCTAATACTGACATCTTATTTATTTCTGATACTTTTGTCAAAATTACATAGTAACATGGGTAGAAGATACTGTTAACTAACCTGTAGACATTATTTGGATTTCTGTTTTTCTCCCAGTGTCCCTTTTCTGTTCCACAATCTGATCCAGGATTCTGTGCTGCATTCAGACGACATGTCTTCCCAGTCTCCTCTGATTCGTGATAGTTTCTGTCTTTCCTTGTTTTTCACAACCTGAATCTGGTTTTGCCTGTTGCATGATTATACTGGAGTTATGGGCCTGGCTGGGCATGAATGCCATAGAGTTGAAGCATCCTCATGGCATCATATTATCAGCAGTGACATTCACCTTGGTCACTTGGTTAAGGTAGTATCTGCCAGATTCCCCACAAGTTACCAGTTTTCCTTTTCTGTACTCTGTTCTTTGGAAGAGAGTCCCTAAGCACAACCCACACTCAAGGGGAGGGGAATTAGGCTTCACCTCCAGGAATGGGGAATATCTACATGCATTTGCCTCTCTCCCATTTATTCAGTATGAATTCATAGTGTGTGTGTATTTTTTTTTTTACTTTGCATTATAATCCAGTACTATTCTTATTTTGTTGCTTACATTGTTTCTGCTTTAGCCATTGAGCTCTTTCAGTTGGTTTCTGTGTCCGATAGACATGTCCTCATCTTTTTGTGTGTTGTTTTGCCTTTGTTTGGTTTTGAGCACTTATATATTTTGGCATCATCTTGTAATTTCCCTGTTCCAGTGTGAAATCAGTTATTTCTCTAAAGAACTCTGGTTCCTTTTATTGGCGAATGGTGTTTAGAAATGAAGATTTGGGCATTGGATGTGTTCATTACTATTGAGGTGTCATTGCTTCTAGGCCTTCTCAGTGATGGAGTTAGAAAATACAGGTATGTCTTCTAACCCTTGTATGAGCACAGATCTGTATTAACTCTCTCTCTCTCTCTCTCTTAAAATAACCATGAGTTCTAATCCAACACCACAGGTTTCATTCATCCTAGTCTTCCTCTTTTGCTGTTAGTAACTTATTTCTCCTACCGTGAGAACCCTGACTCCCATTACTACAGTTTATTCACATATTTGTGCAACCCTAGTAAACATGTAAAGTAATCCCAGAATTGCTCACCAGTATCCCTGTGAAGAATAAATTTACCAACTAGAGTACATTGTTTTTCTTTAGCCTTACAGAACACAGTTTTCAAAAGTTAGTTACATTAGCACTTTTTTCCTTTACCCTCTTCAGTGAGGTTAGCTCATACATTTGTAATATAGTTAGAGGAGTTTATCTCCGTCTGCATTTGTCCTGGGATTTCCCAAGGTCCCAGTTGGTTTTAAATTTGCATACTGTAAAATTCACACTTTCTGTTTTACACACTGGATTTTGTGCATTTAAATGTTAACAATCTATGTTGAGCCATAGATTGTGATTTGGTTTATGCTTCTTTTTGATTTACCTTGTGAAATTTACATATTTTCAGAAGAAGAGAAAGATAAAATGAAAATTTATATTTTAATGTAATATACAAAAACATTAGCTGTCTGACTTTGCATATCACGATGCATGTTACCTCAATTCTAGGAGGATTTTTGGTAATTCTATTTATTACTTTCTTTTGAATGAGAAACGATTATGTAATTATTACAAGTTTATTGGGCAGTGAAATATCATTTGTCTTTGGATCTAACAATTATTGTGCTAATTTTTTTCTATAAGCACAAAAAACTCTGAAGAGATTGCCTTTTATATTTAGAGTAGACAAAGCCTGTGGAAATAGGATATGCATTTGTAATAACAGTAGCCACCCTTTATTGAGTCTTACCATGTGCCAGACAGTACTGAATGAAGTGGCATTTTTATTTCTTTATTTTACAGATATGGAGACTAGATGACTTGGCCCAAATCACAGAAGCTATAGACTCTTGGAGGGATTCAAACCTAGGATTTGGGGATACCAGACTTTAAGCTATGTTAATGGTCTCTAAACCTGGTGCAAGTGCGCACTGAGGACCCAGGGCGCTTGACATACACAAACCCACACACCCACCCGTTCTTGGTCGTAGGCAAACCTGAGTTTCCCGAGGTCGGGCTGGAGCACTGGCATGTTTCACCTGCCACGTGCTCCCTGAGAAGCTGGCCTGGCCCCGTGCAGCTGCGCCGGCACTGGGAGCGGGAGGGGCTCCCGTGCTCCTCGGCCTGCTCTCACGGCCATGCCCACTCACGCAGCGTTTAGAGGCAGTTTTCATTTGCTCCCATCATCACCAGTCAGATTTCATTAGGGAAATTAAGTGAACTTTTTAATTGAGGTAAGTGTCAAGCTAACAAGTACATACTTGCTCAGTTGCCTATAGGTTTTGTGTTTTTTTTTATTTTTTTATTTTTAATCCTCACCTGAGGACATTTTTCCATTTTTTGTTCAGATAGAGTGGGAAGGAGAGAGAAAGAGAGAAACATCGATGTGAAAGGGACACATTGAGTGGCTGCCACCCGCACAAGTTAACCAGGGCCAGGGACAAACTGCAACCGAGGTACGTGCCCTTAGCGGGAACCGAACCCGGGTGTCTCTGGTCTGCAGGCCGATGCTCAACTGCTGAGCCATACCTGCCAGGGCGGTTTTGTGTTTTCTTAAAAGAGGCATACTTATGTAAGGGAAAATAGGACATTATACTCCAGTGTGCAGCCGAGAATTGGATCCACGCAGCAGCAGCAGCAGCAGCAGCAGCAGCACAAGACCACGGCGAGTGCGCATTGACGGGGCCGTACGGAGGGTCCAGGTTGCGCATCCATGAGGGCTAGAGCAGGATGGCCGCCCGAAGCTGGCTGGCGAGCGCTCTTACCATTGCAGACACTGCCTCTTGAAGGTGTATTTTGTCCCATGCAATGCCTAAAGTATTTTTGACTTAGGGGCTAACATTTAAAAATTAGAAGATTTCACATGAAAATATGTGTTTTTTGTTTTCTTTGACAGACTGGGTGGTCTGTCCACGCTGGGCCCACATTGCCCACATGGCAGCACCTGGTGTGCTCCAGTTGACCATAGTGCCCATTGTTTTTCACCCTTCACGCCCACCCCACCCTCACGCTCCACTCACTTCATATTCCTGGCCCTGGTGATGTGACTCAGTCCAAGATCATAGAAACTAACTTTTGAAGGGTTACTTACATAAAGACTATTTTGATCTAGTCCTTCATTTTGTAAGACAGTATACTTTTCTTTTGTTTTACTTATTTTTTGAAGTAGATGAAAAAGCAAAGTTACTGTTTTTCCTCTACCCCTGCTCAGGGTAGTAGTTGGTTTGTATCTTTAGACTGTTTTGTGCACATATAAATATATATCTTTGTATGTAATGTAGATAATTTCTTTACAAGAAAGCAATGTAATGCTGTATTTGTCCTATCATTGATGGGTCACATTCTCTACTTTGGATCTGTCCATATCGGTATGCTCAGTTCCATTCAGCATCTATATGCTGTTGCATTATATACTGTAACTTATTTAGTCATTTCACTCCTGGCTTAACTTCTTTTTTCATACCCCTAGTAAGTAGTCTCTGATAGTTCCCTTACTCTCTGATATAACAGACTGTATAGGTTTCTTTTGTGCAGCTACTCCAGACTGGGGATCCGCTGTGTTTTCTAGGCGGCCTCACTCCTCTTGGCGGGGAATGGGATTCCAGGACCACAATCTGGGCGCCAGCATTGCTCGTTGCCACGGAAACATCCAGTCGTTGTTTTAGTTCTCTTGAGCAGACAGAACACACACACACACACAAGTTTATACTGATACTGATACAATTCAGCTTCAGGATTTCAGATTTTTACTTAATCTCTTCATATTGATCACAGTTAATCATTTAAAAAAATTATGTGGCTATATAGAAATCTTTACCTGTTATGGGAAACTAAAGTATGTATTAATTTAAATGCAAAAATGTGTATTGAACATAAAAGAATGTGATAGGGGAGACTGACCAGTTGAGTTTCCTAAACAACAGGACACATAGATAAGAATGACAGAGACAATACTTATTAGTTTGTGACATTTTTTTTTTTATCCTCACCTGAGGACATTGTTCCATTTTTTGTTCAGATAGAGTGGGAAGGAGGAAGAGAGAGAGAGAGAGAGAGAGAGAGAGAGAGAGAGAAAGAGAGAGGGAGAGAGAGAGAAACATCGACATGAAAGGGACACATCTAGTGGCTGCCACCCACACAGCCTAACCTGCCAGGGCCGGGGACAAACTGCAACTGAGGTACATGCCCTTAGTGGGAACTGAACCCTGGTCTCTCTGGACCGCAGGCCGATGCTCTAACTGCTGAGCCAAACTGACCAGGGCTAGTTTGTGACATTTTAAGTTGAAGAAAAGTTGAGTTTTTTTTCAGTTTGATGGCTTCAGTTTTCTCAGGAAAAGTGGAAGTCAAGGTCTTTGAATATGATTGGTCAGCATACTGTTGCCAAAGGTGTAAGAACAGCAGGAATGCTCCAGATCCCATGTTTTATGGAGAAAGTACATGGGTGAGCAACACTAGGGTCCCAGGACACACCAAATAGCAGGTGTTTGAGTGAGACTAGCCAGGTCAATTTTATGAATTAAAGAAAAAGGGGCCCTGGCCAGTTTGGTTCAGTGGTTGATCATCGGCCCACGGACCTATGAGTTGCAGGTTCTATTCCAGTCAAGGGCACATACCTCGGTTGCAATTCATCCCCTTTCATATCGATGTTTCTCTCCCCTCCTCCCCCCCATTCTATCTAAACAAAAATGGAAAAATGTCCTTGGGTGAGGATAAAAAAAAAATGGACAAAAGGATTTGTTGAATCCACTGGTTTTTATGTTTACATAAGTGGCTACCTGGTTTTATAATCTTTTCTTGAATTTTAATCATTTTCTGGTTTTCTCAGTATGGAGATAGTTGTGGGTAATACTGTATATAACCTTAAAAATAAGTATTCTGATCATTTTAATAAAAACATATAATGAAAAAGATGAACTTGAGTCTATTTCTACTATATATTTTTAGACAAAAATATTGCAGTTTGGTTTTAGTTCTTGTTACGGTTTTCTAATACTTTTAGAACTTTTTTGATCTATGTTGAAATGTTAAATTATTCTAAAGATAACTTTTCCTGTAAAATTATGATTTTTGTAGATTTGTCAGCAAATCGTAGAGAATAATAGTTGATAACTACGATCTCGTGTATGCTCCTTAACCTTTGTTGAATTTTTGTCCTAGGTTTCTGAGTTTCCAGATCCCATGTGGGGTTCCGATTATGTGCATTTGTCCAGACCGCCACCTTCTTCGGAGCAGAAAGGCTGTGCTGTGCCTTGGGAGGAGCTCAAGTCTATGGATTTACCCTCCTTCGAACCTGCCTTCTTAGTCCTCTGCCGAGTCCTCCTGAATGTTATACACGAATGCCTGAAGTTAAGATTGGAACAGAGACCTGCTGGAGAACCATCTCTCTTGAGCATTAAGCAGGTTTGTTTCAGAGACTGTTTAAAAATATCTAGCAATTATGTTATTCTACAGGCTCATAATTTTTATTTTGAGGATTTTTTCCCTAATTGTTGCAAATAGTGAAAAATGAATATATGTTAGTGTTTTTAAGCTGCTTTTTTCTTTACAGATAGTTGAACATGCTCTTTACATGTAGTTCTCAAAGGTAAGATTGTGGTGCCTGGTTGGTGTGGCTCAGTGGTTGAGCGTCGACCCATGCACCAAGAGGTTGCCGGTTTGATTTCCAGTCAGGGCACATGCCCAGGTTGTGGGCCCGATCCCCAGTGGGGAGCATGCAGGAGGCAGCCAGTCAGTTGTCTCTCTCGTCGATGTTTCCATCTCTCTCTCTCCCTCTCCCTTCCTCTTTCTCTCTAAAATCAATAAGGAAAAAAACCAAACAAACAAAAAGATAAGATTGCGGTTCAACCTTTCTGTTACTCATTTCCTTGTCTAAAATAATAGAAAAGAGTGGTGATAATGTAACCCTCTATATCCTATTACTATCAGTTTTTAAAGACTGGAAACTTAAAATTAGGTAATTTAGGTTCCTTAAATTTATTTTTTCATTCCTTTTAAGCTATACGTAAACAAACAAATGTCTTTAGAATATTCAGAGGAGAGATGTTTGGACTTTTTGCTTACTCAGGCAGTTGTATAGCTTGAACAGAGTGACAACTTCTGCTTTCTTAGTGATCATCCATTGTGGATGGGACCATGGCTGGAAGCAGTTGTATATAGCAGAGTGAGTGCTGAGGTGTGTGAGTATTTATGCTCTATGATGTTGACATTCACTCTATGGCATAAACATTCCAGATTATGAAGAACAGAAGTTGTGTTTTTTGTAGACTGAGCATGTCCATCCCATAGAGATGGAAGAGCTAGGAGCTCCTTGGCTCTCAGTGACGGGGTAGAGCCTGGGGGACGAGGGCAGGTTGAGGAAAGCCAGGTATATGCCAGTGTAGTAGAACTTGGTTTGTTGGGAGGCCTGCACCTCCTTGTCAGCCATGCAGTTCCCATACAGCTCCCACCAGGGCTGCATCCCCTCGTCCCCTTGTCCCCTCTACGTCCTTCTCACCATCTTGGTGCCGGTCATTGTCCATGCTTTCCCCTTGTCCTCCACGCCGCCGAGGTCATTAGGGAGTTTAGTAAAACACTTACTTCCCTTTCCCACAAAACATACTTCAGGAACATAATCCAGTAAAACAAGTGGAGTTAATTTTTTGCTAATGGGGTTATTATGAGGATTAAAGAGCAATTTATGTTAAAACATTTTTTAAGTTAAAAACAACATTATTTAGATTAATGCAGCATTACTAGAGTAAAACAAAAATAGAAATTTTGGCTTAAATGCATTCAAAGATTCAGTTATAAGCACATAGGTGACATCTTTAAAATAGAAATTTATGTCTATATAATCTGAATAGAACGCTTTTTTTTTTATCCTCACCCGAGTACAGTTTTTTCATTTTTTTGTTCAGATAGAGTGGGAGGGAGAGAGAGACAGAGAGACAGAGAGACAGAGAGACATCGAGTGGCTACCACCCACCTGACCCAACCAGGGCCGGGGACAAACTGCAACCAAGGTACGTGCCCTTAGCAGCAACCAAACCCGGGTCTCTCTGGACCGCAGGCCGACGCTCTAACCAATGAGCCAAACCGGCCAGGGCTGAATAGAACGCTTTTTAATAGATTTAACCCTAATCTTTTCTGTCCTATCATAGTTAATTATTTTTCAAACATTTTAAAGGCAAACTTTTGTTTGTAAAAAGAGTTTTTTTTAAAAAAACGAATTTTAAAAAACTATTTTTTATTTTAGGGAGAGGTTGGTGGGGGAAAGAGAGAGAGAAACATTGATGTGAGAAAGACACATAGATTTGTTGCCTCCCACACATGCCCCCACCAGGCTGGGGATTGAACCTGCAACCAGGTATGTGCCCTTGACCAGAAATTGATCCCACAGCCCTTCAGTGTGCAGGCTGGCACTCTGACCACTGAGCACACTGGCCAGAGCTCAAAACAAGATTTTAAATGGGTTCAATGATGTTCTACTTTCAAGGTGCATTATAATTTAATATTCATTGTTTTGAATAATATTGTAGTAAATATATATGTGTGTGTATATGTATATATAATATATAGCCTGCAACTCTTGATTTCTTGAGTATAAAACAAAAGACGATTAATAGTCATATATTTGAGATTCTAGAGAATTTGTGCTAATTTATTTTCTCAGCAGCAGCACTGAGGTTCCTTTTGTGTCTTCACTAACATGTATATTAAAACCAATGTGACTGTAATCTCATGCCCACAGTCCCTGCTGCTTCGGATTTTGCAGGGCTGTGCCCCAGCAGTGTCTAAGGAGAGGACCTTGCAGGCCTCCTGTCGGCCCTCGTCCCTCCTTCCAGCATTCTCTTCAGGCCTACACATTGGGATTTTACCTTTCTTTTTGTTTCCTATGTCCCCTTGACTTTCATCTGATTTCATCAGATCAATCTTAGGTCTATTTGTGTGATTATTATAGTTGTTTGATGGTAAAAGCTCCAAGTCACAGTAGGTAAATTATGCTGAATTATTATGAAGGCCATGATTAAAAATGATGACATTTTTCTCTTGTATACATTGTCTTGTAACATAAACTATTAGATAAATGTATCTTTTTCTATGGAATGTATTTTCCATATAAATGTATATGTAGGAGGGTATATTTTAGCAAATCAGTTTTTGTGTATATGACGTTTTCTCTCTGTATTCACATTGTAATGCTAACTGCTTTATTTTCACTACTTTGTTCTTATCTAATTGAGACTAAGATTATTTGTGTAAGAATCTGGAAAATATCTTAAGGTGCCTTTTTTATTTTGAGTTTTTTGAGGATTTAAGTGGGAAGTGTGCAGACTGACATGTAGTCTGGTCAGTTGTGTGAAATGACAGAATTTACGACTGTCCTCCTGCAGCTGGTCCGAGAGTGTAAGGAGGTGCTGAAGGGCGGCCTTCTGATGAAGCAGTACTACCAGTTCATGCTGCACGGCGTCCGGGACGGCCTGGAGAAGGCCGACTGCAACATCGATGCCTTCGAGGAGGACCTGCAGGAGATGCTCATGGTGAGGGCAGGGGGGGCTGCCTTCCCGCGTCTGTCCAGCTGTTTTAACCAGTTGTTTTCATAGCTTATTCTAGTTCATGGTTTAAGTGTGAGTTTATAGCAGAATGGCCCCAAAATAGAACCTTATTCTGGTCCTATGTTATTGAGCGGTCTGTCATCAGCTGTATGTAGTACCGGGAGGCACGAGCGACCTTGCGCGGCTTTGGGAACACAGTGCTGAGCCTGAGACACTGTCTGAGGAGCTGGGCAGACATGCTGTTCCAGCCTGGGGGTAAGTGCTAAGGTGGTGTTATGCTGAAACTCAAGGAAGGATGAGATCTGGGACACCTAAACTGCCTGAACACTTCCAGGAGCATCTTACCGCAAGGAGCTGCATCGGAAAGGTAGTCCAGGGTTCACTGAGGAACCCGGCCCGTTCAAGGAGCTGGAAATAATGTGATTCGGTGGGAGCATGCTTGTATTTCTTTCCAAGAAAGAGCTCCCTAGTCTTCTCATGTGCATTCACGTACCTGTGATTTCCAGTATTTCTTCCTGCTCAAGACACCCCTTCTCCTTATTTGCCCATGTAAGACTTACTTTCAAGTTTTATTTTTTTTCTAGAAAGCTTATTTGACAGTTATAACCTTTAGTGTGCTTTATCTGAACCTTTAAACTCTCAGCAGTTATAATTACAATGGTACTACTTAATACTTAATGATATAGCACGTCTGTGTTCTCAGGTTCCCCTAATTAGACTGGAAGCTTTACAGGCCACGGGCTATGCCTTGAAGTTCTTTTGTCTTCGTAATGTCTGGTAGAGTGTTAATATACAGTAAATACATGTTAGAGTCAATAGAGAGAGAGACAGCTGATTACATAATGTGGCAGGTTGATGAAATAATAGAGAAAATGACCACGCTGGTAGGAATATTGTTTTTGGAATGCTTTCATCTTGGCACCTCACTGTCCTACCTCAGGATTGCTTAGCACGTCCAGGTACCACCTCCACTTCTAGGCTGGGGGAAAATTGAAGGGAAAGTAGGCTCACCAGCTAAGCCCGGAACAGTGAGAGTGCCCCTGTAGCCCCCCCGGCAGCTGGCCCTGCGTCCTGCGTCCTGCGGACCTCTTACCTGTAAGGGCTGGGCATCCACACGCTCAGCATCCAGCCTCTGGTGGAAGAGCTGAAAGAGGAGTGTGACTGGGAAGGGGACTTACCACATCTTTTTTTTTTTTTTTTTAATCCTCACCCGAGGATATTTTTCCATTTTTTGTACAGATAGAGTGGGAGGGAGAGAGAGGAAGGGAGAGAGAGAGAGAAACATCGATGTGAAAGGAACACATCGAGTGGCTGCCACCCGCACGACCAACCAGGGCCGGGGACAAACTGCAACCGAGGTACGTGCCCTTAGTGGGAACCGAACCCAGGTCTCTCCGGACCGCAGGCCGACGCTCTAACCGCTGAGCCAAACCGGCCAGGGCACCACATCTTCTATATTACGAGAAATAATTTTGATTTTGAAATTATGTCCTAATTGGGAGAGTACATAAAAGACGTGGATGTCTGAAACATGGCTATGTTTTAAAATACTATGTATTTTTATGTCAGAAAAGTCTTTATCATTGAAAATTTATGGTATGAAGCAATAAGCAAACTAATTTCTCTCTCTCTATGGATGACTAAACAATTAAAAAGGGAAAATGTGCTTTGCTTTCCAAATTGTCTTTGATGGTCAGACAAAGGCCCACACCCCAGCTTTCATCACGTGGTCACTGAGGCAGGAAGGGTAAGAACTGGGCGGGTAGAGTGTGCCCTCCAGGTCGTGCAGTTTCCGAGTCCTGGTGTATCTGTGAGGTAGCTAAAGCCTAGATTAAGCGAATTGCCAAAATCCACAGCTAGTTAGAGCTAGAAATGGCCAGGATGTTGTTTGAGCTTTGCTACTAATTATCTGTATAAAACATAATTGTTCTTAGTTTCTCTCCATCATCTCACAGTTGAAGAACTAGTAATTACCAATGCTTTAAAAATTGTGCCCCAAAGTGTGCTAGATGGGTAAGTGCAGAGGCATGTTTTAAGAACTGGGAAAGCCCAAACAAAATCATGTTTCTGTTGGGAGGGAAGGAGGGACTGGCCTCCGGAGAGGCGGTCAGATGACCCTTCTCTTGAAACGTACCAGAAGCAGCAAAAGGAACGAGGAGTAAAGAAAACATTTCACGCTCACTAAAGGAGATATTGGTCACAGTACTAAATGCCCCCCACCCCGAAAGACTATTACAATTATTTGCTTTAAAATGTAAAGTAAGGTGAATATATTCCACTTTCAATATGGGGGGCTCATCAGTGATTAATTAGAGTTGTGATATGTAGAGGTGTGAACAGTCAGGAGAGAAGCAGGGGTGTCCCCGTGGAGGTCCTGTGGTAGATGGCATATCTGAAAGACAGAAGAACATAGGTAGGGACACTTCTGTTGCCTACAACTCCTCCTTTGGCAAATGAGAGCGAGTTTGAAGGGTGAGGGGAAGCAGTGATGGGCAAGTTATAATGCAGAACGAATGGTACTCTGTGCTATGTCATCCTTCTGACTTGAAAGCTGAGGGATATGTTCATGCAGGTCAAGGGAAATAGCTTGGTGAGCATTTATTAGAGGCTGCAAATCCACATTGAAGATGTGAACATCTTAGCTCATTTCCCTGGCCTTAGAAATAACCAAGACAATAACCATAATGTATGATGTAGGAACATGTGATAGATAGATTTAAGGAACCATGTAAAAAGAATCAAAAGATGTGATAACAAGATGTGATATTTTTGGAAGACACAGGGAGAGCTCAGATATGCAGTTAACGTTCCTCTAGAACAGTGACTTTCGACCTTTTCGTCTCCTGGCACATAAACCAATTACTAAAATTCTGCGGCATACCAAAAGCTGTATTATATTTCTGCTGATCTGACAAAAAAACCCCACAAAAAGGTATAATTTAGGTTATTGTTGTGTTGGCTGTTGTCATTTATTTTTTGACAGTCTAAGGGCACTGGCCTTGACTAAATAGTTAGGTATTGCATGTTTTAAACATTCTTGCAGCAACCGGTTGAAAATGGCTGGTCTAGAAGAATAAAGGGCAAACAGAGCAGCAGATAGGATTCCATTTTGCACTCTGTAGATATTGCTGGGTGATATATTATGGGTGTCCACTGTGTGCCGGGAAGGCATCGTGACAGGTACTGAAGGGTCAGTGAGCAAGCGTGAACTCCCTCGTGGGGTTTAAGAATGATGGGCAGTGGTTGTCACCTAATCGTCTGCACGTACCATCGCGACGGGAGACGCAGCGGAGAGGCTCGGCCTTCTGCGGCTCTGCCCGGGCTGGGAGGCGGGCAGGTGCGGGAGGCTTCTCTGAGGAAGGGCACTGCGACTGGGTCCGAAAGCTGGTCTTTGTATGAAATTTATGTAAGAAATTGAAAACTTATGCAAAATAATACGATATGTTATAATTTATGTAATTATTTTTTTATTTTTCTTATTTTTTTTTTTATCCTCACCCGAGGACATTTTTCCATTTTTTGTTCAGATAGAGCGGGAGAGAGAGAGAGAGAGAAAGAGAAACATCGACGTGAAGGGACACATTGAGTGGCTGCCACCCGCACGACCAACCAGGGCCGGGGACAAACTGCAACCAAGGGACGTGCCCCCAGCGGGAACCGAACCCGGGTCTCTCTGGACCACAGGCCGACGCTCCAACCGCTGAGCCAAACCGGCCAGGGCTATGTAATTATTTTATGTGATATTTCTTACTAAAATATATTCTAAGCAATATGACAAACTGTTAATAATTATTGAGTCTGACTGGTATTTGTTAGAGTATTTTTAAGCCTCCTCACTTTTTAATGAGCAAGAGCAAGAGAGATTGAGGAGACACTGGCGGAGGGGCAGTGGCTTCGGGACGAGGCCTCCGGGACAGCATAGCGCGGGCGCGGTGCAGCTCGGGCCAGGCTGAAGGGGCACGCTGCTCCTCTCGCTCTGTTTCTGGGTCCGGCTGTGAGAGCAGGGGCTCGGGGGAGCAGTGCGAGTGCAGGTGCCGACTTGGGTGCAGCCAGACAGTGGCCCCTGGAGGGCTGGGACCGAGGGGCTGGCCTCAGGGACCGCACGCCTTCAGGAGGCCGGGGAGACGAAGAGGCGCGGGCTGAGAGGCTGGGCCCGGCCTGGCAGCCGTTCATTGTCCTGTTCATTCGGATGAGCTGGTGGGAGACCATACACTGCAGGTTCCACACACCCAGCTGTGTGCCTGATGGACCCAGGACTGGAGGGAGGTCACGCTGTGAGGACGGAGGAGGACCCAGAGCACCCGAAGATTCAATAGAGGACAGTTTTCTGGAAGTGAAAAAAAAGACCTGAAATTTGCCTGCTGAAAGTTGTTACTGGTCTCAGAAAACATTCATTCCAGTGAACCTGAAAATGAAACCTGATGAAAAGACTGAAATCCAAGACTAGAGAAAGAACCATGTAAAGATCCCAGCAGAGACAGCGAGTCACCTTCAGGGTGTGGGAGCCTGGTGGCAGCTGGATTATGCTGGTGTCAGATTTCTGCACACTGACAGCAGTGTTGGAGGCAGTGCAGTGATGTCAAATTCCGAGGACAGTGTGTGACTTCACACCGACAGCAGTGTTGGAGGCAGTGCAGTGATGTCAAAGTCCGAGGACAGTGTGTGACTTCACACCGACAGCAGTGATAGAGGCAGTGCAGTGATGTCAAAGTCTGAGGACAGTGTGTGACTTCACACCGACAGCAGTGTTGGGTGACTTCACGCCGACAGCAGTGTTGGAGGCAGTGCAGCGATGTCAAAGTCCGAGGACAGTGTGTGACTTCACACCGACAGCAGTGTTAGAGGCAGTGCAGTGATGTCAAAGTCCGAGGACAGTGTGTGACTTCACGCCGACAGCAGTGTTAGAGGCAGTGCAGTGATGTCAAAGTCCGAGGACAGTGTGTGACTTCACGCCGACAGCAGTGATAGAGGCAGTGCAGTGATGTCAATGTCCGAGGACAGTGTGTGACTTCACACTGACAGCAGTGTTGGAGGCAGTGCAGTGATGTCAAAGTCCGAGGACAGTGTGTGACTTCACACCGACAGCAGTGTTAGAGGCAGTACAGTGATGTCAAAGTCCGAGGACAGTGTGTGACTTCACACCGACAGCAGTGTTAGAGGCAGTGCAGTGATGTCAAAGTCTGAGGACAGTGTGTGACTTCACACTGACAGCAGTGTTAGAGGCAGTACAGTGATGTCAAAGTCCGAGGACAGTGTGTGACTCAGATCGTGTATGCACAGTCCACTTAACTTTCATATGTGCATCAGCAGACGGTGATGTTCTGTAATATAGCAACTCTGAACCCATCTTGAGGAAAACTACTTGATAGTAAACCCTACTAAGCAACAGGTAAATTAAAATAAGAATTTGGGAATGGGAAAGTTGGAGTAGGGCTTGTGGACATAAACTCTGCTTCAGAAAAACTGGATATTTTGGTTATAGATTATAATTTATGTCATAAACCTTGAAAAATTATAGCACAGAAATCTGGATATTGGAAGAGATGGTAAGAAGTGTGCTCATTTCCCCTCAATATGCACGCTACTGTCTGAAGTTAACATAATCAGACAAGGAAAGATCCCAGCCTCTGAATGGAGTGATGTTTGCAGCATACTAATGATGAAATACCTGGGTGTATTTTGAATTTTTTTTTATGTTACTCCTCACCCAAGGATATTTGTTCCATTGATTTTTTTTTTTTTTTTTTTTAATCCTCACTCGACATTTTTGCATTCATCTTCAGATACAGCAGGACAGAGAGAGGGAGGAAGAGAGAGAGAGAGATAAACATTGATGTGAGAGAAACACATTGAGTTGTTGCCATCCACACGACCCCAACTAGGGCCGGGGACAAACTGCAACCGAGGTACATGCCCTTACTGGGAACCGAACCTGGGCCTCTGGTCCGCAGGATGATGCTCTAACCACTGAGCAAAATCGGCCAGAGCTCCATTGATTTTTTTTAGAGGGAGAGGAAGGTAGGGAGGAAGAGAAGGGTGGGGGGAACATTGAAGTGAGAGAGACAAATAGGCTGATTGCCTCCCACATGACCCCAACTGGGGTTGGGGATCAAACCTGCAACCCAGGTACATGCCCTTGACCAGGAATTGAACCCATGACCCTTTGGTCCATGGGCCAACGCTCTAACTGGCCAGGGCTTATTTTGATTTTTTAAAACTTGATTGTATTTTCTATACATTGTGAACATTTTATTTTTCTTGGTAACTTGAGGGGACTGTGATAGTGTGTTATGTTGCCGAGGAGCTGAGTTACACAATTCAGGAAAAATCCTCACTGAGACATTGGTTAGCAGCAGTGCCATGTGCCTCCACAGCTTCTTCCACGGGGCCCTTGATCGATAGCTTTTGTGTGAACAGAGAGGAACTTTGGGAGTTGCTGAAGTCTGTTCTCAAATATCTCCCTTTCCTTTTTTATATTTTAAGGTATATTTTGATTACATGAGAAGCTGGATCCAAATGCTACAGCAGTTACCTCAAGCATCCCACAGTTTAAAAAATCTTTTAGAAGAAGAATGGAATTTCACCAAAGAAATAACCCATTACATCCGGGGAGGAGAGGCCCAGGCTGGCAAACTTTTCTGGTAGGAACCCTGGTGCTCTGAGGGCACCTGTCAGCTTCTCATTCCCACTCCCAGTCTGCTTATTAGTTCTCTTCTGCGCGCTTGAATGTTGAGTTTGTGAAAATGACAGCCATTCACATCTGTGTGCGCCCCTCTCCCAAGTTTGTTAACCTTGAAGCAGTGGTTTTCAACCTTAAAGGACACTTGCGCCCCCCTCCCCCCGGGGGACATTTGGCAATGTCTGGAAGCAGTTTGATTGTAGGTACTACTGACATCTAATAAACAGAAGCCAGGGATGCTGCCAAACATGCTACAACGCACAGGATGGCCCCCAGAACAAAACGGTATCCACCCCAAGTGTCAGTTTTGCAGTGGAGAAACCCCACCTTATGTACATGTGACAAAGAGCAGAACCTCAGGCCTCAGGGTGGCCTGGACCTGTGCACCTGCGCATGTCCGTCCTCGGTATTCTGAACCGAGGAAGGATGCGCTTCTGAGACTGCTTTGTGAATGTCATGCCGATGACAGAATCTTCATCAACGGTGGATATATGGTGGGAGGTTAGAAATGTAAGCAGGGAAACCATGACGGAGGTGTGGTCACTGGTCTGTTTGTTCTGGGAGTGAATGTATCTTGCAGAGTTCAGACACCTGGTGTTGGACTCAGTGCATCAGTGGTCTCTGCTGGGGGCCCCTCCTGCTCACTGACTGAGGATCAGCCCTCCTGTGGCTCCAGACTGCTGCTGTCTGGGATGCTGCCTCTCTCAGCACCTCACCAGCCATTTTATTTCTCGTCTCCTTTTACTGAGGCCTTTTACACCCAGCTCCTGTTTGCTTCTCCCCCTTGTGTGTGCTTTAGAACTTCAGCTTTCCCGTGGAGTGGTCTTCAAACCCGAGAAAGTCACTATTCTTAGCTCCACCGACCTCTGTTCATGCTCACCATCTCAGGATTTTGTATTCGTGCTTCTGCCCCAACCATCAGTTTTATTAAGTCTTTATCTTTATTTTGAGTGAACAGTGAATTCGCTCTGTCTCAGAACTCTTCCAGCCCTCAGCCAGCTTCCCCACTCTCATTGTATGGCTTTCCTGTCCAGGTCGGTTCCCATGGTTGGCATTATTAAAAATATGTTCACTGCCATTTTCAGCATCTCTCCTTCTCTTAATTTCCCATCATTCTGCTTTGCCTCATTTCTTGTGTGTGTCATCTGTTTCCAGGCTGTCAAGTTGAAGACATTTTTTGAAAAGGTTACTGTTTCGTTGCACTGCCAATCAGTACTATTTAATTTCACCGTGCCCTCATGCCCTTTGCCGGTCTTTCTGCTCTTATCTCTCACTTGTCCTTGACCTGCAGCGCAGTGTCTTCCTCCCTTCCCTTCCCACTGTGCATCCTGAGAAGCCCCGGCCTGTACTGTCATGGTTCAGGCTCTGGGGCATCTCTTGTGTTAGCACAGCGTTCTGTCCAGTGTGCTGGGCCTTCCAGGTCTGGTCAGTCGTGGACTCGGCCCTGATGTATTTCCTCTGTCACACGCTGTGCCTCATCTGTGTGGCCGTCCCTCAGGAGAGGCCTGGAACCTGACCCATGCTCACCATGCCACATTTCTGCTCCAGCTCCCAGGCTACTGCTCCCTACTTGCATTGTTGCCGTAGCTCTCTAGTCTCTGCTTCTGCCCTTTATCCCCTCTGGTTTACCCTCAACACTGTAGCCAGAGTGATCTTGTTAACGTGTACATCTGGCCATTTTCTCCTCTGCTCTAAACAGGCCGCTGGCTCCCCATCTTTCTCAGTAAAAGAGAGAGAGTGAGTGCCTGCACAGTGGCCCGTAAAGCCCGACACAGTCACCCTGTTCAGTGACCCTTTGTCTGTGTGTCTGCTACTGAACGGCCACAGGGCCTTCCTCCTGCTGTTCACAGGTGTGGTGCTCCAAGCCACCACCTCAGGCACTTTGCACTTGCTGGTCCCTCTGCTGGGACTGCTCTCTCCCAGCTATTTTCACGACTCATCTCTCTGCTTCGTTTACATCTTTGTCCAGTGTTACCTCCTCCAGATTTAAAATGGAAATTCCTACCTGCAGGTACTCCTTAGCTTTCTTTCCTGTTGTACTTTTCTCCATATAACACTTAGCAATATCTAAAATACTATGTAGTTTTATTTTTATTCTCGATTCAGTGGAGGGATTGTACCGACTTTGTTCCCTACTGTGTAGTATGTAACAGATACCCAGTATTTGTTGATTGAATCCGTCCTGGGCACCCTTGTGCTCTGCTGTTCTTAAATGCATGTTTCTCTTCGCTCCCCATCCAGCGTGTTTGCAGCCCACCCTGTATTCCACATGCAGCCTTCTGCCGTGTGGCCTCATTCACTTCCTGCCCTGTTCCCCTACCCCACTCCTTCCAGACTGGAGTTTATCCACAGCCATGCCTCTTGCCTGACACGTCTTTATGCTGTTTGAACGCGTTTCTTGTTCTTCCTGGACGCCCCCACCCCCAGCCTCTTCCTGACAGAGCCCCTCTTCCCACTGTCAGTCTGCTTGCTATAATTCTGCATTGCCCACAAGCCCCACTGAAACCTCGTCTGCCACTGGTGTGACCCCCCTCTCACAGCTCCCCTGCCCTGCCTCTGCCACGTCTGTGTGCGGGCCTGCTGGCCTTCACTAGGTGCCAGCCTCTCCGTGAACGTCAGAGCTGCTGTCGGACTTGCACTCACTGGGATGCGTCTCGTACATGTGCTCACACGTGACCTAGTGCTTACAGTGCACACGCCACGGGGACCACCAGCTGCACATGCTGTTTCATGTTCATTAACCACGAAGAGCTCATTGTGGGGGAAAATTTTAAAAACAGTTGCATTTCAGGAATTCACTATGTTGTCTTATCATTTAGTTTATTAAGTGTTCAAAAAAATCTTGTCATAGGTATATATTTAAGGCTATTTTATATTATTTTCAACATTTGTTTAAGAGGAAAATGACATTTGTGAATAATTACGTAGATACTATGAATGTAATTTAAGATTTTAAGTTTTATAACGAAAACTACGGTAATAGAGAAAACAATGGTAGATACATGCCATAATCGGAATTTCCACTTCTTCACATTAATTATGATTTTTATTAAAAAATTCTCAGTCATTTTAAAAAATTTTTTTATTGTTGTTAATCCTCACCCAAGGATATTTTTTCCATTGATTTCTAGAGAGTGGAAGAGGTGGGGAGGTGAGCAGGGACAGAGACAAACACACACACAGACATGGATGTGAAACACATTGCCTGGTTGCCTCCCACATAGGTCCCAACCTGGGCTGGGGATTGAACCTGTAACCCAGGTAAATGCCCTTGACCAGGAATCAAACCTGCCACCCTTCAGTGCGTGGGCCGATGCTCTGTCCACTGAGCCACACTGGCCAGTCTTTTTTTTTTTAAACTATCAAAACAATAGCTGAATCTTTTAGCTCCTCATTCAAGAATTAGAATGAGTGAGGATGGTTTTTCCTCTGGGTTACTCTGTTATTCTGTCCCTTAGTGACATTGCAGGAATGCTACTGAAATCCACCGGCAGCTTTCTGGAATTCGGCCTGCAGGAGAGTTGTGCCGAGTTCTGGACCAGCGCTGACGACAGCAGTGCTTCGGATGAAATAAGGTGGAAGCCCCCCCCCCCCCCATTTCTTGTTTCTTGGTAATGGGCCTGAAATCAGATGTATTCAAACCAAATTGTTGTGCATTCTTTCATGAACTTGGGTAGCAGACCTAAAGGGATTTATTTCTGTATTGTCTTTTCATATGATCTCTTAGGTATGGTTTTGAGCAAAATTTTCTTTGAACGTGAATTTATTTAGCGTAATAAAAAATAGTATCCTTAGAGAAAGGGATGGATAGTTTCCATTGGCTAAAAATGATAGAGTAAAACTCATCCACATGTTCTAGAATGTCTTTACCTAAGTAGTTGTACCCCTTGGCAGTCCATTAATACCTTTACTTGACATTTGCTACATTTTTATTACTTTTGTGCTTAGCTTATCCCTTCTGTCGAACTTGGAGCTAAAGTGCGTGAACCATAGCTTACTCATCAATTGCATGTACTCCAGTTCTGTGCAGATGGTGTTTAGGTTGGGTCATGTAAAACTGCTGTTTTTATGGTATATATATATCACTCATATAGCCATTGTGTAGCCAATTAGCAGCAGTATGATATGATTCAACCTCAGGCAGTACCCAGATGGAACTGACTTCTTTAGAGGTGCAATGTTTTCTCTCACCATCCAAAGTTTAATGAGAAACACAATTTGGATTTCATAACACCTGGGATGTCTGTTTGTGTGTGTGTGCGCGCGTGCGTGTCCCTAGCAAGAACCAAACCTGGGACTCTCTGGTCTGCAGGCCGACGCTCCAACCACTGAGCCAAACCGGCAGGGCCACCTGGGATGTCTTTATGCCACAGATAAAGAAAGTAGTTACCATGTGGATTCTCACCTGGAAAAGCGTTGAGTGGCTGAGAAATGGAATGAATCGGTTTGTAGGACTTGCAGTTTTGAGAGTTAATACAGAGGATTAGAACAAAAATGGAAACTCAAGAATGAAGATGGTGAACTGGCATAGAGAATGGCTCTTTTGATGCTCTGATTGTTCATTTGGGGTGGACCTAAAAAGAGGGTCATGTACAGTTGGTGCCGGGGATGGAATGTCCAGGGTCCAGAGAGCTGATGGGCAGTAGATGGTACACGTCTTCCCCAGTCGCACTCAGAGCTGTTGCACGGGCAGCTTGCAGTCAGCTGTGGTAGGAGTCTGCACACCACGAAAATCAGCCAGTGCCACATAAGACAGTCTTTTGGGCGGAAACAGTTGTTAAATATTTACTGGCCCACCTTTAGATACTTGCCTTTTTATTTATGTTTTAAATCCTCATCCAAGGATATGGGTTTTGTTTTATTTTTTTATTGATTTTAGAGAGAGAGGAGTGGAGGGGGAAGAAACATGGATGTGAGAGAGAAACATTGATCTGTTGCCTCCTATATGCACCCCGACCAGGGATCCAACCCCAGACCTCTCAATGTACGGGACGATGCTTCAACCTACTGAGCCACCTGGCCAGGGCTGGCTATATACCTTTGGATTAAGATTATTAGCTGGGAGTCAAGAACTTACCAAACTCCAGGAAATTATTGTAATGAAATCTTTAGAAAATTGAGCTTACTCTTCTTTGAAAGTGATGAAGTATGCCCTACTGATTTAAAAGACACAAGTACTTTCTAGAAAACTATGAGGGAGCAAGCTTCTGAATATCTCAAATATGTTTCCATTTACAAAATCTTCCGTCGTTATTAATGTGATTGGGAATTTGCTTCACCTTTCTTGTCACATATGTCTCCGCCAACCCCCTGTGCCCCCCGGGCCCGACACTGCAGGAGGTCGGTGGTGGAGGTCAGCCGCGCCCTCAAGGAGCTCTTCCACGAGGCCCGCGAGAGAGCCTCCAAAGCGCTGGGGTTTGCTAAGATGCTGAGGAAGGTGAGCCGACCCTTCTCTTAATTATTATTGTTCTCCTATTTTATTTTTTCTTATTTTTTAAAAAGCCAACCCTAAAGAAGTTTCTTTGTGCCTGTGACCCCAGGACCTGGAAATAGCTGCCGAGTTCATGCTCTCAGCCCCCGTCAGAGACCTTCTGGGTGTTCTGAAGTCGAAGCAGTATGTTAAGGTAAGTATTTAACGTTGGATAATTGAAATATTTTGCCTTTCGCACTTTACTTTAAACAGGAAAACTTTTTCTTAAATGTCCAGATAGTAAATATTTTAGCCTTTGGTGGCTATATGTTGACCCCAGTTATAGGACTATCACATAATCCCCCCAAAGCAAATTTTTCATACTTGATGTATTGACTTGTCTTACAGATAAAATAATTAAATATTTACTTGAACTATTTTATTAAATTAGTCACACATACCTATTTCAAATAATGTATATAAAACAATATGTTGATTTTAAATAGTAGTTTTGTTTTTCACCCCCACATTCCTGAAACAGTTCAGATTTTTTACATGAATCTTCGCCATCCTGGACATCACCAGAGCCCCTTTTTGAGTTACCATCATTGCTCCTGTTTACGTTCTTCGAGATTTACCCTTTACAGTCTGTATGATGTTGTTCCTGGAAATCTTATGGGAAGCCTCCAGTTTTATCCTAGCCACATTTATGTGACTTGTACGACATAAGCACATATGTATTTCTTGTTAAATGATCTTTAAAAGGCTTTTTAGGGTGCCCTCACCAAGAGTAATTTGTGAATCTGTATTGACATTTTTATCTTTTCACTTGAGTCAGGTGATGACCTGTTTCAGACATCATCCCCCGCAGACTCAGGATTCTTCTCTGTGCCGATCCTGGCTGGCTGTCCACCTACTGCAGGTGGAGCTGTCTGGGAGCAGCTTTGCTTAAAAATGACCCTACAAATGAGCATTGATTGCGGTTGTTTCAGGCTGATGTTCCTTCCTCCCAAGAGTGTTTTCTTTGCTATTGAAAATAAAGAAATCAGAGGGTGCCCTGTACGTGGGGAAACTTTGCAAGGCGTCTCCACCGGCACAGCACTGTCCCTCCAGTCATGTGACCTGGACCACTTTGTCCCCTCACTGCCTGATTCATGCCTTTCTCACCTCTCCTTCTCCAGACCTGCTTGTCTTTTTCTAGTTTATTTTTTTTAATTAAATTTCTATAATTTATGACATTTCTTAATTTAAGATTTCTTTTCAAATGGCTAAACTTCATTTTTTACAGCTTTATTGAGGTATAATTGGTATAGAAAAACTGCACATAATTAGTGTATACAATTTGGTGAGTTTGGACATGTTCATACACTCGTGTTACCATCACCACGATCGAGGTAATAAGATTCTGCGTCAATTCTGTTCCAGGTACAGATTCCTGGCTTAGAAAACTTGCAGGTGTTTGTTCCAGACACTCTTGCTGAGGAGAAGGGTATTATTTTGGCGTTACTCAACGCAGCCGCAGGCAAGGACTGCTCCAAAGACTCTGATGACGTGCTGATCGATGCCTATCTGCTCCTCACCAAGCACAGTGACCGCACTCAGGATTCAGACGACAGCTGGGCTGCGTGGGAGGCACAGCCTGTCAAAGTTGTGCCTCAGGTGGAGACGGTTGAAACTCTGAGAAGCATGCAGGTATATCTTACTCCCAGTTCTTACACCCGCCACCTTTCTCCGAACCTGAAGCAGTATTTCTTACTGAAAATACTTTTAGGAAAAATGAATTATTAGATAATTTTGTAGCATTACTTTAATTAACATAGTCCATCAAATTCTGTAGGTATGTTAAATTAGTCTGGAATATTTGAAATATTTTATTTATATCTTTTCTTATTTTCAACTAGGTCATTAAGTTTGTATATCCATGATCTAAAAGGAATTACCTTACTCCTTGAATTTATAGTTCTAGAAATCCCAGTTCTTCAAAAACTTTGGTTACTGGCTATTTGGTTTTCTTTTTCGTAGTGTAGGCTGTCACCTACCTACTTAACTGGGACCCTGTAATTTATATAACCCCTTAACTACCCATCAGAAGCGTCCCCATGTTCTCCGTGTTCAGCTGGGGCCAGTGTGGTGAGTGTCGTGTGCTTTCTGTACTCCTGTCTCAGGGAAGGGTGCTCCGGCCACTCAGCTGTTTGAGCCAGAATGTGACATTTCATGTAAATTCAGCCTCCCTCCCTTCTAGTTAATCAGCAGCCCTAGCGACCCCAGAGTATGTGCAGTCAGTGACCTTTCCTCTGCATGCCCAGCTATTCCCATGACCAGATCGCATCCCCCCTTCCCTGGACTACTGCAGTGATCCCCTCACCCCTAGTTCCCCTGCTTCAACCCTCCCCACACTTCTGCATTTCTTTGCTTAGGTACTTCCAGAATGATCACTCTAATACATACATCGGATCATATCACAGATCTACTCAAACTCCTTGAAGAATAAAAATAGTCTGCTCTCTCACTGTTGCATACAAGGCCCTAGCGCATCCCACTTTCAGTCCTGTGCTTTCCATCTGCTGTGCTGCTCACGCACACACGCACGCACATACACAGGAGTGCTGAGTTACCCGGGGTTCTAGGACGTTTCTGAGACATCCTGTGGCACAGTCCCCGGGATTCTTCACCACTGTGCTGAAGACCCTAGACACTGGTGCCACTGCGGCCCATTGCTCTTGGAAGCAGCTTTGCTGGACAGCAGCTCTCAGCAGGTGGCTGCTGGCCTGGTACCCTGAGGTTGGCACTTCTTTCCGACAGGGTTGAACTAGAATGGGGAGGCAGTAACTGGGTCTGTTTGTAAGCCCTATGCTTGATTTGTATCCTAGGTGGATAATCTGTTACTGGTTGTCATGCAGTCTGCTCACCTCTTACTTCAGAGAAAAGCTTTTCAGCAGTCCATTGAGGGGCTCATGACTCTGCGTCAGGAGCAGACATCCAGCCAGCCAGTCATCGCCAAAGCTTTGCAGCAGCTCAAGGTATTTCTCATCAGCTCGACCTTGACTGGTTTGTTTATGTTTGGACATCGTGCTACAGAACTAATGTGTTGTAATGTAAAGTTATTCAGTTGTCCTCCTCCTCCTCCCTGCCCAGTGCACACTTCCTCACTCTGAACCAAAAAGTTCTGGGATCCATCCTGGAGCTGTAGAACCTTAGAATCGGAAGGGATAGAATTGAACAGGCACATGATGATCACATTGTTGATCAGTAGCAAGGTTGATCATTGGAATTTAGGTCTCTTCATTCCTCATCCAACTTTTCTATTCCTTAGCAGCATTTACTAGAGGTACTCCAAGTCAATAATGTATAATCTAAAGGTTTATTTATTCTCTCACTTAACAGATAAGTCAGCCAAATTAACTAGACAGAGCCAGGTGCAGACAAGCACAGGCCTCAGAGTTCGAGATGGGCCACAGCCCTGCCTTCTCTTCCCAGTGTTTCCTGTTTTCACCACTTTCTGTGTCATGCTCCAGTTATCAGTCTTGATCTTGTCCACACTTTTCCACAGGCCATCAGTTATGTCTTTTTACTCACATTAAGGCTTGACTTCGGAAGAAGCAGCACTTCTTGAAATTACAAGGAGTTCGATAAGCATATGTTTTTCTCCAGTCAGTGTGATTACTCTATTTATCTACAAACATTCCCTCTTTTAGATTGTCTCCCACTCTAATCCCAGAGCAGGGGGTTTTTGTCTTTCGTTTGAGTCAGTAAACTTTGGAAAATCCAAAATTCCATAAGATACCAGGTATTCTTGAGCTCAGGGATGTGGGCTGTCACACCGACTACAGAGGACGGAGAGGTTAGAGACCCCCGCAGCATCTCAGAATGGCCAGGGTGGAGGCGTTCAGCTTGGGAGGGTTTCCGAAGCTATGCAGTGGGAGGTCTCACAAAAGGAATGTTTGGGCACTGTGTCCACGGGTCAGGCTGTGGGATGCTCACTGAGCGTCAGATTGTCTGGGGCTGGGTCTTGGTGTGTTCAGCAGAAGGTAGTGGGGATGTGGCTGGTCAGATCAGGCTGTTGAGAGATGCTGGGTTTTATTTTCTAAGCTTCAGGTAGTTGTTGAAGATTTAGGAAGAACATTTTGGAACAGTGTTTAAGGAGATTGTCTGGTGGAGACCTGTGCACCTAGGAGTGTGCTGAAGGCTGAGTGGAAAGGGAGCCAGTCTGGAGCTGTTGTGATATCGCTTAACGAGACAGCAGAGTCCGAGCTGTTGGTGTTCTGGGCCAATGATTCTTTGTTTGGGGGAGCTCTTCTGTGCACTGTAGAGTGTTTAGCAGTATCCCTGGCCTCTACCCAATACACACCATGAGATTTTACTCTCCCTCCATTTGTGACAAAAATGCCTCTGGACATTACTGGCACTGCTTGGGCATTGGAGGTAAAACCTGTGAGAAACCCTGAACTAGGAGTGGTAGGGGAATAAGAACAGTATGACTTGGTAACACTGTGGAGTTGTTTAGAAAAACGAGGAGCTCACTCTGGAATTTGAGCAACCACCCAGCTGAAAAGGCCACATTGTAATTAGACATTATTACTTAAAATGCATATTTTTCTCTTGTATTTTATAAGGCATTAGAGAATACCTAATACAACTAAAAATGAAAATTATATTATTTTCTGTTTTTAGTTCTTTCTTTTGTATAATCAAAATAAATGTGGCCGAGAAATATTGCCCTGGTTTATAAAGTCTGTGATGATGAAAGAAATCTTCTTCTAAACTACATAAGTATTGTGTGATTTGCTTCTTTTTGGATTAATTATGGTTTGGGACTCTTTAGAATGATGCATTAGAGCTTTGCAACAGAATAAGTGATGCCATTGACCGAGTGGACCACATGTTCACTTCAGAATTTGATGCTGAAGTCGACGAGCTGGAGTCGGTCACGCTGCAGCAGTACCACCGGGAAGCCATGGTTCAGGGCTACAATTTTGGGTTCGAGGTAGGTGCATAGTAAGAGGGAAAACACAGTACAACTTAGCAGTTGCTTTGTAACTTACAAGAAACATCGTGAATCTTGTACGCAAACCTGACTATTGATTGTAATCACAACTTAGTCAAGAATGTCTTCTTACATCATTGCTGAACATTGGAAATGTTGGGTTACTTTTAAACTGTCAGATAGTTGCCCGTTTTTATTTTGTGCTAACAGCTATCTACTTACATTAAAAAACCCTTTTAAGAGATATTTAATGCCATAAAAAAAACATTCTTAATTTAAACTTATGAGTAAAACATTTGTGAAACTGCATTGACATATGCTAACTCTTCATGCTGTTTTCAGTATATGTAAATTTTAATTGGATTTTTCTTTTTGTTTTTAGGAAAAAAGTCATTTTAAACAGATAATGGCATTATAGTGTTTAGGTATTTGTATAATCATTTTCTTCTTAATTTTGAAATCTTATAGTATCATAAAGAAGTTGTACGTCTGATGTCTGGAGAGTTTAGACAGAAGATTGGAGACAAATATATAAGCTTTGCCCGAAAATGGATGAATTATGTCCTAACTAAGTGTGAAAGTGGGAGAGGCACAAGACCCAGGTAATGACCAGGTGGGGTGTGTGCTTCATGAGCCGTGTGGGATTGGCAGTATTTCCTGCTTGTATTCGATGTGAATTCTGAGCAGAGGACACAGAGGAGCATTTCAGACTCTTTGTGGATTAGTGTGTGTGTGTGTGTCTGTGTGTCTTTAATTCTTACCAAATGAGATTTCTTTAAGGGAGTTCACATTCTCCCTGGACAGGTCTGCCTGATTACTAATCTTTCCTTCCTTACACAATATAAACCTATTGTTAGAGTAAACGGAAAAAAAATTGGTAACCAGTTTCTTTATTAAGAAGCCATTTGTTGCCCTGGCCGTTGTATGTCAGTGGTCAGATCACTGGTGTGTACACCAGAGGGTCTCAGGTTTGATTTTCGGTCAAGAGCACATGCCTGGGTTTCAGGTTCGATCCCTGGCCCCAGTCAGGGTGTGCAGGAGGCAGCCAGTCAATGTGTCTCTCTCACATCGATGTTTCTCTCTCTCTCGCTCTACCCCTCCCCCCCCCCTTTCTTCCCCATACCGCTCTTTCTCCCTTCCTTCCACTCTCTAAAAACACTACTGGAAAAAATATCCTCGGGTGAGGATTAACAACAACAACAAAATAAGCCATTTGTCTTTCTTTCCTAAAACACATTATAAGCATACTCAGTCCCAAGCATTTATAAAGAAAAAATGTGTTTTGTCCTAGATAGTAATTTTCTAATTACATTGCTTTTCAGTGTTATATAGACTACAACTGCTGTGACATTTTCTTGGTCATTTTGTGATTGCTGAAGTGCTTCATTACAGGTGGGCAACTCAGGGTTTTGACTTCCTGCAAGCCATTGAGCCCGCCTTCATCTCAGCTTTGCCGGAAGACGACTTCTTGGTAAGGAATGTTCTCGAGTTCTTTCCATTAAAAACAAATAAGTTGGTCACTGTCTGTTCTTGATTGTGTGTTTTATATTTAATAGTGGTTTTAAAATATTTTTCACGTAATTGTAGTGACTGTGCTGGGAACTGAGTCGGTAAGCACTATGGAGTTCATGGCTACGCAGTAACCTTCAGTGCTCTGCTGTCTGTGACCGTAGGGTTCAGCTCACAGTGTGGCTGTGAGCCTGGCACTTGCAAAAGACCTGACAGTGTCCTGTTTTCTACTGCTGACTTAGTTGCTACTTTTTAGCAGTTTCATGAAAAACAAGGAGTAGCTATTTCACTTCACTGTGCCATCTGAGAGTATGATACCAAATGTTATTGTGGCAAATTTCATCTGATCAAAAAGATGTCGGAATGTGAATGGATTCATTTTCACCTCCAAGTAGTGGAAGTGATCACAACAGTCCCTTGTGCACGGTGTCGCGTCGCGGGCGCTGAATGCACACGCGTCTGCCATTACTTACGGCAGTGGGATTGTGTGTGTTTTTAAATTATACAACGTGTAGCTAATTCTTGTTCATACCTGTTTTATTTTAAACTAACTTTGAAAATACTTACTAAGGGTAGCATGTTCTTTTAAATATACCAAAAGCTTAATTTGTTCTAGTTATCTGTTGAGAGAGTATCCATTCTTTCTTCTCCTTTCCCGTTTCCTTTGGGTCCTAGAGTTTACAAGCCTTGATGAATGAGTGCATTGGCCACGTGATAGGAAAGCCACACAGTCCTGTTACAGGTTTGTACCTTGGTAAGAGAGCAGCTGCAGCGTCTCTGCTTGAGCCTGCCGGCTCGGGTGAGCGCCTCCACTCTGGTTGCCGTCATTTACGATGGTGTAAGGTTTCCAAGAACATACAGGAAAATGACAAGCTAGAGGAATGAGGTGTGTATGAGAGAGCTCCACAGTAATCTTTCTAAATCCAGCAGGAGGGTTAAAGTGCGAACACAGGTGTTCAGAGATTGCCTTGCCAGCAACACTTCTTTGCACACCAGTGCTCTCCCCTGCTCTCCCCTGAAGTCTTTCTTCTGGAGGAAACTCTTGGGGAGACTCGTCTCTCGAGAAGTCAGGGCCTTGCCTGCTGCAGGTGAGCGAGTATAAGGCTCCTCCCCTCCTTTACCTTTGAAAGGTTTTCTTCTCCACCACTTTTCCAAGTACCCATTTCCCCACTAATGTAGTCACTTCCTTTTTGGTTTTACTAAAAGAAAAAAGAAATCAAGTTAAGTTATGCTATATTGTAATTACAGATTTTTTTATGCTTTTATTTTATTTTTTAGAGAGAGAGAAAGGGAGAGAGAGAGATAGATACATCGATGTGAGAGAGAAACATCGATTGGCCACCGCCTACATGCCCCCCCCATAGGGGATGGAGCCCGCAACCCGCGCATGTGCCCTGACCAGGAATCAAACCAGGACTTCTCAGTCCATGGGACAGCGCTCAATCTGCTGAGCCACACAGGCAGGACTAATTATAGTTTTTAATTACTGTTAATATACAGTTTTACAGTGTATGTTGAAATTTTAAAATATGTGTCAGAAAAGGCTATGTCTCACTCCCATCTTAATAGATAAAAGTAAAACTGTATTACTATGTAATAAACACCCAAATATGAAAACATAGAAATTTTAAACAGTTTGCTATGCAAAATAAAATAATTCATAAATGGTAAATTTTTTGAGCAGCAGCTATATCTTAAATGGTAATTGCTAGTTACAGAAAGTTTAGTAGACCTAGTTGTAATGTTTGGTTTCTTTATCTTTAAAATTCACTAAGTTCATTTATACCTCTTTTCCTCCCAAGGTTCCTATGAAATGACAGTTACCATTTGCAAAACTATTTGAACATTTTATAAAACATGCTATATTCTTATCAAACTTTGATTAAGCATATTTTTATAAATGATTTTGTGATCTAAATTATTTCTCTAAGAAATACATGATCAGCCCTGGCCGGTTTGGCTCAGCGGTTAGAGCATCGGCCTGCGGTCGGAGAGACCCTGGTTCGGTTCCCGCTAAGGGCACGTACCTCAGTTGCAGTTTGTCTCCGGCCCTGGTTGGTCGTGCGGGTGGCAGCCACTCGATGTGTCCCTTTCACGTCGATGTTTCTCTCTCTCTCTCTCTCTCCCACTCTATCTGTACAAAAAATGGAAAAATGTCCTTGGGTGAGGATAAAAAAAAAAAAGAAATACATGATCAGAATTCAGTAAAAATTACATTTTTAAAATAGTTTATTACATAAGGAATCATTTTCATTGTAGAAAATTTTCAACATAGAGAAATATTGCAAATTCTCAGGTGATCACTGTTAATGTGTGAGTCACTAATTGTTCACTCTACCTCTCTCCGGACTGCTGGCAGGACAATTGGGTCATAGTTCTCTGTAGGTCAGGCTGTCCTCTGTCCTCTGAGCACTGAGGAATGGTGGGGACAGCCCTGGACTGAGCCAGAGTGCCTGACAGTCCAGTGGCCTGGGGCTGCTCATTTCACATCTGTGAGCCTCCCTTTCTGATGCCTAAAATGGATGCTAATGAGGGTTCAATAAGTTAGCAACACTTTGTAGACTGGAATGTCCCACACAAGGCAGGAGTCACCATTGGGTTTCAGATTCTTTTACTCTGAGAGAAATTGATGAAAGCGAGAGCATGTAACCTGTCATCTTGCTGCTGTTGCTTTCCTTCCTCCCTCCCTGTGCTCTACCCGTGTCGCTAGTGGTGACGGCCTGGTATGTAGCCTTCCTCATTTCCTGTACACTCATACATGTAACTGCACGGATGTCTCCTGCCCTACCTTTCTTTCTGCTCGCATCACCCAGCAGTCATAGGATGTTTTCCTGCCATTTACTGTGTAACAGTTGGATCACACTGAGTATTCATCTTTTGCTTTTCTTGACTGACAACTGTAGACATTCCTGTGTCAACAGGTGTAGATCCGGTTCACTTTCTTCCGTGGCCGCACTGTGTCCACTACGGACACACTGAAGTTCTTTCCACCATTTCCTAGTGGGCATTTGCTTTGTTAGTTTTTCCATGGAAAACATCTCTATAATAAATATTTACCACTAGTGAAATTTGAGCACCTATTTTCTATTTATTGGCCATTTGGATTTTTTTTTTCAGTGAATTATCACACTTTGCAACAGAATGTTAAACTCGTGTGCATGTGTTTCAACAGAGTGTCTTTTACCATCATGGGAAAATTTTGTAGTAATTTTTGACTCAGTAGTTACCAGTATGTTTGCTGAATTAAAGATATCACCATCTGCATCGAATTGTATTTGTTAGTTTTTGTCTTTACCTTTGTTACTGTTGGATTTATTCCATTTGTTGTTGTAGTAGTTGAGATAATGAACCAGGGACTCAGATTTTCTAAATTTTTTTCTTAATTGCTTCATTTTGTTTTGCAAGTTTTTCCTTCAGATTGCTTCATTTTTGGTGCTTCTGTCTTTCTTGTGTAATGCGATTAAAAGCAAACAAACACCAGGAAGAAGGAAGCATTTCCACTTTGGATAACATATTTAGTATAAGATGTATATAGACTAAAATCATTAACATATGAAGAGAAAATATGACATTAAAAAAAACTGACAAGGGTTAAAACCAAGGTAAAAGTAAGGGGAGACCATGTTAGGGAGAAATAGACAAAATCTAATACTAGCCCATTGCTACTTACATTTAGTTACTGGGAAAGTATAATCGCTAGCATTTTTGTAATCACTAGGTAAGATCACTTTTAAAATTTTGGTTTTAAGTATTTTATAGTTTGTAAATTCTGTTTTAAATGTTCACTCAATATTTTTCCATTGATTTTTTTTTTTTCCTAGATAGAGTGGGAGGGATGGAGTAGGGGGGATAACATCAGAGTGAGAGAGACACATTGATTGATCGCCTCCCGAACGAATCTCGAACGAGGGCAGGACCAAGCCTGCAACTAAGGTCCGTGCCCTTGACTGGGAATCAGACACTCGACTCTGGTCCTTGGACCAACACTCTAACTGCTGAGCCAAACTGGCCAGGGAACAAATTTTGTTCTAAGTTTTATCCATATTTATCTTCTGCCTGTTTAAAAGGAAAGGAGAAGAAAACATGTTCTGGGGGGAAAAAAGATAATAACCTCCTAGTTTGATTTAAAGGAATGAAATAAAAGTTCTCACACTCAGGAAAATGACAATGCCCTTTTTAAAGTCACTTTAAAATCTCTTAAAAGTGTAGAAAACAAAAAGAATTCCTTTTTTATTAGGAAGATGCCATGCATTTTCGTCTGTCTCTAAAATGGGTTATATTGTTTGTTGCATATGTTATGTACGTTTCATCCCGGGATTTAAAAAATGTTTCTGATGGAGAAAAGTTCGAATGTGTAATGTAACTAAAAGGTGATATTTTCCACAATGCTTGTGTATGTAATAATGATTTTCTTATAGAAAGGGTTTATTTTGGTCACTAGTAAAATTAAGTCACATCCTGTTTCCATTTAATTGCTTGGCCTGGCAGCTCTCTCTCGACCCCGTTAACAGGTTGCATTTGTCACCATTTTCACTGGCAGCCATTCATCGGAACAGCCCCCGTCCTGTGAAGGTGCCGCGATGCCACAGTGACCCTCCTAACCCCCATCTCATTATCCCAACTCCAGAGGGATTCAGGTATTTGGGTATTTGGTGCTTATCTAGTCCTTTGCTTTGTGGAGTCTCTTCCGATGTGCATGCCGATACTCTGGAAGCTGCTGGACGCTGGCTCTGATAACTGGTTGTCTGTGTTCTTGTTCATACGTTTTTAAAAGCTCTTACTTGCGTTATCTTGGAGAGAAACCACCGTGCCTTAGTTACGGAAGAAGAAGACATGCCGATTTAAAACAGACTGGTGCCTTTCAAGATAACTTAGTTTCTCATCTTATTTATAACCTGAAGCTACTAAATGCTTCCCAGCTTTGGATTATTTCTTTCTCTTTCTTTGAAAAATGACCTTAGGGAAGCAAATTTGGGTGTGCCCAGCATAATAAACATTTGAAAACAATACTTAATATTAATTTGGAAGTGGAAAAAAACTGGAATGATCTTTCCAATTTTGACTTTTATGTGTGTATGTAACTACGAATCAGCTTACTCAAGTGATTTCAGAAACTGATACATTCAAATACCTTGAATGTGGTGGCATTTCTGCTTCTTGTAGGGATTGTCTTCTCTCCTCTGGATGACCACTTTTTAAAAGTTCATTTTATTTGAGAGTATTTGCTAGGAAAGATCACATCTATTTTCAAAACAATGAATTTGAAATTAGGTGGTTTTCTTTTTTCCAACCTAGACCTGAAGCTCAATGAACAATTTACATTTTATGTTTTAAGATACTTTTCACTTACCCTATTTATTTGTGACTGAAAACCGTTTGCAAGTCCGTGCCCTTCTGTCATCTGTGTTCCTGAAGCTCTTCTTCTCGTCTTAGCACTCGGAGCGTGCCTTCGGATGCGCGGAGCCACGGCCCCTCAGGCGGCGACTCTGTGCCACCCAAACCCGCCAGCAGTGCCCATGACACCAGGTAGTCTCACTCTGCCAGTGTCCTGCTCCTTGCCCCTCGTGTGCACTGCCATAGTGACCTCGGCTCTGGGGTGTGTCCCAGGAGACACGGCAGGGTTTCTCCCTCGGTGCACGTGATGCTCAGGAGCCTTCCGAGGTCGCCACAGCCCCTCGGCTCCCGGACTGACCGGCACAATAGATGATCTGTCTGATTTTAATAGTTCTTTGGACCTGATATTAACCAAACGACTGGAGTCTCTGCCAATAATAACTCTCTGGAGAGAGTATCAGAGGAAAGAGCCTGGTCCCCACCAGGAGAGATATGAGGAGTTTGGTAAACGTTGCCTTTCCTGAGATTCAAAGATGGCTTCTAGCTAGGCCCATCAGGAGATGAATTGTTATTTTAAAGAGAATCACTTTTCTGTCCAAATTACCTAATTTCTATAATTGTTGACTAGAAGGCTTGTAGAGTGGAAAATGAGTTCACGGGGCTCATACCTCACGGAGAATAGATCATCACCAGGGGGCCAGCAGACGTGGTGGGCTCCAGAAAAATGTCTCCTCGCAGAGTCTTGTCTTAGTGAGGAGAGTGTCCCAGGTTTTCCCACATTAGTTGTTTTTTGGCCTGTAGATTTCAAGGTCTTATACTTACTCTCAAGGATATTTTATTGTTTTTAATTCTACCCATATGTCTGGTTGGAGGGTTACTATTCTCATCTTCCAATAAGGATGGAGGTAGAGTCAAACCGAACTGTCTGGGTGGAGGTGGGGTAACCTGATCAACAAAGAGTTAGTGCAGTGTTAGCAGAAAGGGGACAGAGCTTTAGAATTTAAAACAGCCTAAAATGCTTTTGGATTTTGTAGCAGAAATTTCTACAGACATTTCTGTTTTTCTCATTCATTAAAACAATATTTCTAATTTATAGTGATAAACTTCTATAACCTAAAAAATGTCACTGTATTTTACAGCTTAAGTAGTCAACTAAAAATATTAACAATAACTTTGAACAAATTCCTATTCCCCTCCTTATTTTTATGTTTAGAACATTTCCTGGCCAGTGTTTCCATGTCCCAGTGTGGGTACTGCAGCTGTCTTGTTTTTAAGTGCAGTACAGAGTTATAGGGTGACGTGCCCTAAAACGCAGTCAAAGCCGAGGAGGACACGTCACCAAATGGGCTTGGCTCCCACTCTGCTGCTGTGAATCCACATGGACCAAAAGGGGCGGCAGGGCGACGTCCAAGGTTCATGAACTGTGGTCCAAGGCATTTATAAACGTGGCAGTGTGGTGCATGAAACATTTTGGTATAAAAGTTAAATGCCTTTTCACATCATTGTTAGACCTTGCCTGTTAGATGTTTAGTTAGCATCTTACGAGTAGCATTTCATAAGTACTCTTCATCTTAAATATGTACATCCTTAGAATGATCCTTGGTAGTTAGACATTTTACTGCCATCATAGCACGCCACCTTGCAGGTCAGTTTTTACAGAGGAATGACATTTTCCTTCCTTGTATGGAAGTGTACACATGGTGGTAGGTGGAACAGCTGTGATGTGCACAGCCCGTGCTTTTGTCTCATAGATTCATTCGAGCCTGCACATGCTCAGTTTAACTTGTGCCTCAGCTCCTCTCTCAGGAACCTGTGTGATAGACCCTAGGAAGACCACACATGCCTACAAGCTAGAGTCTCCGTGCAGCCCTGGCTTGTGACTGCTGCGAGGAGGCAGAATGATGCTTACGACTTCCCCTGTTGGCAGGGATGCCCAGCCCCTCGGTGTGCAGCCCTTGCCCACCTTAGAGATACAGCCACAGTGAAATTGTGCTTTGCCCTGCAGCATCCTATAAGTATTTCCATTTGATTTGGTTTAACTCAGGAAATAGTTTGAGCTTCAGTTATCTTGTTTATAAAACATTTTTTTCAGTGTTCTGTGTGCTGGAGCTAGCTCTTAGTGGTTTGTGAGAGCTCATTGTTAATTTTGTAGCAATTTTGCAAGTCAGTTGTTACACCAAGGAAATTATCACCACTGAAACTAGCTGTTAAAAAAATTTACCAGTATACCACTTTATTTAAGTATATTTTCTTTCCTTTTTAATTTTTATCCTGGCAAAAGTCTCTGAGGATGTGGAATTGACTCATTTTGGCTCTTGGAAGTCAGGAACATAGAGATGTTAAGTGACTTTCCATGGTGCCCGGTTGTTGGCATAGCTTAGGGGCAGAATGTGTTTCTTCACGTCAGCATCAGTGATGTTTCCATGAAGTGGGGACAAGACTTTGATGAGCCATGGGCAGTAGAGGATGTCCCGCCTTCAGACTTAGCCCGTGCTGTCCCATTGGAGAGTCAGGAGTCGGAAGCACTGCGTGCTTCATAATCCGTCTGCTCATTAGACCACAGGGCTCACCCTGTTCATTGTCTAGTCCAAAAGAGCATAAATGCTACCATACTTCATTTTATCATTCATTTAAAAGTACACACTAAACTTGTTCACAAACTAATGCCATCTTTATTGTGGATGATTTGTATTGTGATTTTAACACCTGCCTTACGTACTTTTGTTTCTTGCTCTTTCTGGATTCATTCTGGATTGCTGGACTGTTAACCTGTAACTTTATTCTGGAAAAGCGCAAATTAACTTTGTTCTTTATACGTTAAGCTTCCTGTTCTTCTCACTTTTGCTTGGCTACTGCTTGAGAAACCGTTAGTATTCCCTCCTGTTTTCTCATTAAGAGACTTGAAATCTTTTGAGTCACGTAGTGATTTTAGCACTTGAAGATTTAAGTACATAAGTAAAATTTCATTATAGTTATTAATATTAACCAGATTTGGCTAATGATTTTTATCCATCCTGGGCTTAATTTATGGAGCTTTCCACACACGTCAACACTTTAGTAAATACTGTTTTCGTTTTTATTTTTCTTGCTGTTTTTAACATGAAATAGTGTGTTGCACAGTTAGGTTTCCATGTGTTGGCTGTGAAGGGATGGAAGTCTCCTCTCCTAACCCTGGGGAGGGTCCCGGACTGGCACTGCTTGCTGTGGGTGGGCATTCTCGTGGGGCTGTCCTGTGTGCTGTCCTCTGCCCACGAGGGGCAGCTTGGCCCCAGGGACCCAAGTCGCTCTCAGCCGAGAGCCTCTGCTCTGGAAGAACTCGCAGGTCTGCCCTTTGGGGTTTCATCGGGTTGATAGCTTCATTTAAATTATCACAACAGGGGTTCCAGCGTCCCTGAAAATGACCGGTTGGCTTCCGTCGCAGCTGAATTGCAATTTAGGTCCCTGAGTCGTCACTCCAGCCCCACTGAGGAGCGAGATGGTGAGTGTCAGGTGCCTCCTGCGTTCTCAGCAGCCTCGTCGTCTGTCTCAGTCCACCAGTTTCTGTTGATGCCTTTGAAAAGGACAGACGAATAGGAAGTGCCAGGGCTTCGTGAGAAGACTTGATGCTGAGCACATCAACTTTTAATGGAGATGTTTTTTTAGTTGTGTTGCATTTCCTAGGTCTCCTTTTGTTGCTTTTTAAAAAACCTTCATTCGTGATATTTAAGTTGCCAAGTGTTCTTATTCTCTTTAAAAATGCAGAAGTGACACTGTGTTTGTTGATGATATGCAGGAGTTTTATTACAGCGCAGACTGAAGCGTCTCCGTCCAGCTGCTATGTGGAGACCTGCAGGGTGGCCCTGCTGGGTTAGGGCAGGGCCTCTCAGGTGTGGTCCCCAAGTCATCCCATTGTTGTTTGTTACCTGTGGAAGGCTTATGTCGTTAAAAATTCTGCAACCCCATTAATAACTTCTTAGTTTGGTGTGATTTTCTGGAATTGATTGTAGAGACAGCTTCTCACATTCACATCAAACTGTGATTAATCACCAAATAGGACAGGTTGGTGGTAAACTCATCATTGCCACTCTCCGTTTCAACCTTGCTCTCTATTAAATAAGCATAATTGTTTTATGAGTCTGAATCTGTATGAAAAATACTTTTCTGCAGAGCCAGCGTATCCAAAAGGTGATCTGAGTGGGCCGGTGCGGAGGAGCTGGGAGCTGCGGACACTCATCAGCCAGACCAAGGGTGAGAGCAAGAACATTGAACTTAAAATGTTTCAGCACAGAGGGATGCTCATCAGCCAGACCAAGGGTGAGAGCAAGAATGTTGAACTTACAGTGTTTCAGCACAGAGGGATGCTCAACAGCCAGACCAAGGGTGAGAGCAAGAATGTTGAACTTACAGTGTTTCAGCACAGAGGGATGCTCATCAGCCAGACCAAGGGTGAGAGCAAGAATGTTGAACTAAAGTTTTGAGCACAGAGAGAGTACGGTTCAGCTTCAGAATTATTAGACCTTCTACATTAATGTTTCATGATCTCTTTTCTACATCTGACATCACTTTCTGTACATACTGTTTGCGTACATTTCCTGTTTCTTACCTTAAGTTATAGGCACCCTTGAATCGGGAACACATTCTATCATTTTATAGTCTTTAAACACTGAGATGCTTAGTTTTATCTCTCACCTTGGGAGGGCCCTTAGCATAATTCTTTGTTTGTTGTAGAAGCACAATAAGTATTTATAAAGTGAATACCTGTTCATTCTAAGGCTATGGAGGTGAGAGAAAACTTGTTTACAAAGTAGGTGATCAGCAGCCAGCAGAAGCGAATAGCAGGGAATCGCTGGCCCAGCGCTGACGGTGTGTAAGAGCTTCCACGTGGTCAGCGTCACAACAGCTTGAGTGCTGGGCAGCACAGGTCTTGTGCTCTCTTCATAAGTGACCAGAATCTCCGAGAGACATAATGTGGCCATGGTGGTAAATGACAGGGACTAGAACATACTGCTCTGTGTCCCCATCCAGTCATCTTCCCACCACAGCACCCTTAGCTGTGTGACTGGTCAGGAGAATAGCTGTCCACCACCCACGGCCAGAACAGTCAGGAGGGATTCTTGGAGGCTTGACCTGGCCTTGGAGGAGTGGAGGACAGGTCTGCATCGACCCAAGAGGAGAAATGCGGGAGAAACACATCTGGGGGCCCAGAGGCTGCAGAACGGACCGGCCGCAGTGGGGTGGATGTAGCTGTCAGGAGGTGGAATTGTAAGGGTGAGTGGAGATCAGATCATGGCCGGTCTTCAGGATGGCCCTGACCCAGAGGGGGCAGCCACCCCGCGGCCTCTCCAGCTGCTGGTGTGTTCGGGATGGGAAGGTGGGTGAGGAGACATGAAGGTAGTAACCTACGAGCCTGAATTGGGGAGGAAAGCGAGATCAGTGAGAATAGCTGTGGTGCTGCAGCATAAGATCGTAAGGTGATGGACTCAGGTGGGACCTAAAAGAGGAGTGAGAACAAGAAACAGCTGTGCTGCCACACGGGCCAGGCCTGGGCAGGCTGGGTGCGGGAGGGCTGGGGCAGGGGCTGGGGCAGGAGCCTGGGTGACAGGGCAGCGGCCCCTCTCCGGTGGCTCACCCAACCCGTAGTTCCCACGGCTACCAGGTCTTCGCGATGACTTTCAAAGCAAATACTTGGTGGTCAAGTAAACTTGGGATCTCTAGGGAGAGTTCCGGTTCACATTGATGTATTCAAGACAGAAATCTTGAGAAATATTTTACTGTAAAAAAAACTTCCCCCAGAAATATTTGACAGTGGAGTCTTGTTATGCGCCAAGAGAAGCGGATGTGTCAGTGATGGGGAGAAAGGGAGCAGGACCTGTGTTTCTAAGAAATGATTGTATTAAGAAACTATAATTGGAGTGTTATTAATATCTGGGAATTTCTCACCTCGAATTAACCTCAGTCATCCCGGTCCTCGGTGGCCTCTTTGCCTGCCAGGAAACCCTGGCTCTGGCGTAGCTAGTTAGGGGCAGTCTGAGAAGCGCTGTGCTGGATGTGTGGGCAGCCCAGGGCAGTGGTTCTCCACTTCCTGCTGCTGCGGCCCTTTGACACGGTTCCTCACGTTTGGCGACCCCCAACCATGCAATTGTTTTTGTTGCTACTTCATAACTGTGATTTTGCTACTGTTATAAATCGCCATCGGAAATATGTGTTTTCTGGTGGTTTTAGGCGACCCCTGTGAAAGGTCGTTCAACCCCCAAAGGGGTCGTGACCCACAGGTTGAGAACCGCTGATCTAGTGGGATGTGAAGTCAGCATTAAAAAAATAGCCTGGAGTCTGCATCATGTGAAGTCAAAGTAATAATGTTTCATGAAACTTGTTTTAGGTTCCACGTGTGAAAGATGTTTCTCACTGTAAATCATGATCAGATAAATGGGTGAAATAGAGATATGGAGCCTGATGGGAAAAGAGAATCATAATAACAGTAGCTAAAATTTATTGAGTTTTCCTGAATTCCAGACAGTGGGAAAACTGCTTTACATTCATGATTTTATTAAGTTGTCACAATAACTCTGGGAATTAGATATTATTACCTTTATTTTGCAGATTAGGAATTTGACATACAGAGAAGTCAACTGACTTGCCGCTGTCATACACCAAGAACGTGGTAGGCTGGGATTTAATTCCAGGCATTCTGATTCCGGGGCTCTTATCTGTGCCCCTCCCAAAGAAGGGAGACTCCATCCTTTTCTCATCAGAGCGGCTTCCCAGGACAGGTGCAGTGTCTCTGCTGAGCGCAGCAAGAGAGAGGGGCTCCGGCACTGGTAGGAAGGCAGTGTTTAGGCAAACAGAACAGTGTGAACAAAGGGCTGGAAGTGCGAAAGAGTTTGGTGTGTGCCCCGAGTCTGTGGAGTGTGACTAGGGAGCCTGTGGCAGGAGAAGAGAAGGGGAGTGGCGTAAAAAGTGAACTGGGAAGTATGAACAGGGTCCAAATTGTGCAGGACCTTGAATCCCATATGAAGGGCTTTGCATTTTTGATAAACAGGTTGTGATGACCCATGAACTAAATTTATGTAGGAAGTCACATGATCAGATTTATTTTAGTGAGATGATGCTGGCCAACAAGAGTGGAGTGGAGAGAGGAGAAGCTGAGGCAGATGGGTAGTCATCGCAGTTGTCTGACCAGCAGCCTTGGAGAGAACACGTGGCTTTGTCTTGACAGCTCGTGTTTTATGTGGGTCTGTGCAGCAGGCAGTGTCCTCTGCCAGCTGTTCGATTGTGTCTGCCTGTGTCTGAGCAGGTGATGCTGAGCTTTGCTGCGATGGATGCTGATATCCATTGCTCTGCTTTTCCCATTATTACTGGCTGGAAGTTGACTAGATAATAAAAGGTCTGAGCCAGGGGGAGGTCACACCCACTACGATGGCTGTATTGCATACGCCAGGGTGCAGGCGGACTGCGTCGCAGATTTTGAGCTCAGCAGCGGAACCTCTTTGTTCTCTTTGTTTTATAGTTGCAAACTACAGAAACTAAAAAACACTACATTAAATAAAACCAAAAAAAACCCACATTCTCTTGGCACCGTGTAATTGGTGTCAGCACTGACACAAGTTGTCTCAGAGGTAAGGAGTCTGCTCCAGCAGAGGTCTGGGCCATCATTAATCTCCTTGTCTATGGCCCCTCCGAGTTTCCCAAGGCCACCATTAACCTTTTATCTTCATGGTTCCTCTGGGCGTCAGTCCCGGGTTTTTTAGAAAACTGCTCAGGTGTTTACGTGCAGGAATAACAGGTCAGAAAGGAGTTTAATTTTGTGAAAACATTATTAATCCTTTCCAATAATGGTGATTGGGACGACTGAGTTTGCATTTCTTTCTGCAGATACTGCTTCTAAGCAAGGACCCATAGAAGCTATCCAGAAGTCAGTCCGATTGTTTGAAGAAAAGAGGTATCGAGAAATGAGGAGGAAGAATATCATTGGACAAGTGTGCGATACCCCCAAATCTTACGATAATGTCATGCACGTTGGCCTGAGGAAGGTGACTTTCAAGTGGCAAAGAGGAAACAAAATTGGTAAGGAAACTAGAGAGCATGACACAAAGATGGTCTCTGTTAGAAATAGTGATAGTTACATTCCTTTAGGTTAAAACTTACATTTTTGGTCCTTTTCTTGTGTCCATGTGGCAGATATATTAGTATCTTTAGCAGAGGGTTCTGGGTATTTTTGTTTCTTTGCTTCATTTATTCTGAGAGCAATACAAAGTGAGGTTTTAGAGATTTTAAATGGTTCATTAAATTGAATAGTTTTGCTGGATAACTTCACAAGTTGCCAGTGGGGAAGGACATAAGTTGTACCCATTTGTTGTAGTCTGTGTCTCTTACTCCACGAGCACATTATTGAAGAGAAACTACATACAAATAAAGACAAGACAATCTTTTCTAAAAACATTGCCTAATTCATTTCTTGTGAGGTAACTGGTGGTAGCTTGTGTGAGAGGAGGAGGCTGGGACTTTTCGGACCCTCCATTCAACACGCGTCTGCAGAGACTTGGGTCTGCAGTGCAGGCAGGCCTGTGCGCCTCAGGGAGCCTGACCTGCTAGAGCAGGGAGCATGAAGACAGTCACATGCTTTCGGATTGTAGTGATTGTTGTTATCAGTCTCAGGCAGCCGTCCTCAGTTCAATGGCCCTGCAGGTGTGTTAGTAGACTACCCGCCCGCACACTCCTGGACCCGTGGCAGTGAGGTGCCGTCAGATGGTGGCCAGGCCTACTCCTGGCACTGCCTCTGCCCAGCCCGCCCTCCCGGCCCAGGCCCTCCAGGGCCACAGAGGCAGAGAAGTGTGCCCCAGGATGCTCAGCGCTCCCCATCATGCCTCTTCTGGGGTTTGCCACCGTCAGCTCTGCTCTGCTCGTGGGCATCTGCAGGGGAGACTGAGGAGATGGCCTAGGACTCCAGTTGCCAGAGGACATTCAGCACTGCTTTGGGGCTTGTGGCTGTTGCTCCAGTGAACCTCGCCTCAGAGATGTAAACGCAGCTCCAGGTTTAGGGGGGACTAGACTGGTGGACGTTGGAGTGAATTAACACAGCCCGACTTGGTGACTGACAGCTGCCTGTCTGCTCCTGTTCACAGGAGAAGGGCAGTATGGGAAGGTCTACACCTGCATCAGCGTCGACACGGGCGAGCTGATGGCTATGAAGGAGGTGAGTGGCCTGGCCCTCTGGGGCCTTCTTGTTGGAAGCCTCTGGGTGGTAGAGGTTTGGTGAAGAGGCTTCATTGACAAGGCTGTCAGTGCCGAGAGCCCCCTGGGGCTGCCCTACAGCGCATGTACTGTTGGGCCAAGCAGGCAGCACGCTGCGGTGACAGGAGAGTGAAGGGGTCCACGGCTCCAGTGCAGGTGAGCCAGGAGCGCAGGTGGTCCTCGCCCACACAGGGCGGTCCGTGCCGTGGAGCGGGGGGCAGGAGCGAAGGTGGGGGAAAGCTTAGAGGGCGGGGTAGTAGCATCTCACAGCGGGTGTTTCAGGGAGAAGATCACACTTGTGATCTGTTCAGAAATGACAACGTTTTCACAGCGCGAGGTAGAGTGGGGTGGAGCGGGGATGCCAAGGCTCCGTCACCTCAGGGCTCAGAAGTGAGGCCAGCAGGAGGGGAGGCTGGAGCACCCGGCCCGCTGACAGCCTCTCTCCTGGGCGCCTGCTGCCTGCTCCCCGCCCTGCTGGCTGCTCCTGTGCTGCTGTGCTCTCCCAGCCCCTGGGTGTCAGCTTCGAAGGGCAGGAGCATATCTTGGCTTTTTATCTTGGCCAGAACCTGAACACTGGTGATTGCTCACTGCATGTTCAGTGCTTTGTTAATTCGGTTTGCAGTTATGAAATGATCCCGTGAGCTGTTCCCGCACCAGCGCTCTGAAGCAGCTCCGTTCATTCGGGACAGCAAAGAGAAGAGCCTGGGGTCGTGTCGACACCCTGCAGCAGCCCCGGTCGGGGCGGGGAACGGGCCGGGAGAGCTCCCCAGCCTGGCACGGAAAGCTGTCCTGTGGCTAGTCTGTGACGGGGCCGGCAGTGATCTGATGTTTGCCTCTTACAGATTCGATTTCAGCCCAATGACCATAAAACTATCAAGGAAACCGCAGACGAGTTGAAAATATTCGAAGGCATCAAGCACCCCAATCTGGTTCGGTATTTCGGTGTGGAGCTGCACAGAGTAAGCCGGCTTTAATCACACTCGGTGTGAGCGGTCAGAGAGGGTCCCGATGGAGTCCTGTCTACATCACAGGTCTTCTCATTGCAGAGTAACTTTGCCTAATTGTCAGGAAATCTCCATGAGTTACATCATTTCTGCCTTCTCTCTGAGACTAGAGGCGTTCTTCCTGAAATGTAAGTGCAGACTGTAGTTGGTAGCCCGACAGTGTGAAGCACTGAAACCCACCCTGCGAGCGGAAGGTCCTCCTAAGAGGCCCTCACCGCTTCTCCCTCCTGTTTTCCTCCATCTGTGGCTGAACCGCTGCTGAGCACACTGAGGAATCCTGCTTTTTCTTTTATGTGTATTTAAGGAGCCATTGTGAAATGGGAGGAAATTAAATCCTCGAGTTTGTTTCCCTCTGTGTTTAGAAACAAACTGAGGGGCAGAGGTAACTTGGAGCATCTTGGTGGAATAGGAGCTTCCAGGGGAAGTTGGATACTGCTGATTTTTAATGTTTTCACACTTGAATTCATATTTGAAGAGGATGTGTTTCAGTACTTAATAACGTGTAGGGACAGCCCTGTTGGTCCCTGTCTGAGATTATATGGCAGACTTCATTGTAGACGTGCATCCCCTGTGATTTGGAGATGTTCTCCCGACCGGCTGTATGATCCCAGACAGGAGGCAGCAGATAGGGCTGTGGAGGAGTCAGCGACGCCTGTCATGAGACAAGTTCAGTGTCAGGACGACAAGTGTAGCAAACCATTAGAAAGAAGATTCCTACGAGGCGCGGCCTGTGCCATCTTCCAGGTCCTTCGCTGAGTGCACAGGTAACACGAGATGCACTGGTTCCCCGCAGGAGGAAATGTACATCTTCATGGAGTACTGTGACGAGGGCACCCTGGAGGAGGTGTCCCGGCTGGGCCTGCAGGAGCATGTCATCAGGCTGTATTCTAAGCAGATCACCGTCGCGATCAACGTCCTCCACGAGCATGGCATCGTGCACCGCGACATCAAAGGTAATCCCCAACTCACCTCGCCGCGGGGGCCGGAATCCCCTGGTGTCCCACACAGGTACTAGAAGGAAGTACCTGTACTTTAAAAATTCTTCCATAAAGAGCCCAGTATTGAGAAACTGTGAGGAACACATGGTTCCGTCTTTGAGGAGATGAGTCTGCTCTGTGTTCAGTGAAGTCTGTTTCCTAGAAGTGACCTTTGACTTCATAGACTGACTTGGCCGACCCATGTGCTTCTAGACACTCATGGTCAGAGTACCCTTTCCTTTCCCGTGCGAGGACCTCGTGTGTCTGCATGAACGTCGTGAGTGTGAGAAGTGACTGAACCAGAAATGCAGGAGTAAGTCATGATGAGCCACTAGTGTGTGGCTTCGTGGCCAATTCAGTGACTCATTGCCACCCGCCTCTGCAGTGCAGTTCTGCTGACGACTGGTTTGTTCACACCGACAGATTCTAGTGCTTTTCTCCTCTGGCGTGGGAGCAGCTTCTGCCTCAGAACTGCCCCTGGTGCAGTTGCCTCGGGCACATCACGCCCTGACCGTTGTGTCTGGGAATCGTGGGGGTAATTAAAGCAATAATTTATTTCTGTCTCTAATTGGCTCTTGACTGAAGGATCCTGTCTGTCACACAGTCTGAGGCCAGCCTGCACACATTCACTCTGGGGTTGGCCTGATTTCCCACCCGCACCGGCGCTGGTCTGGGTGTTAGCGCTCCCCACACTCCCCATGCTGCTCCCCCTGAACCCCAGCACACGCGGTCTGTGCCTGCCTCCCCAGCCTCCATCTCGCTCTGCTATCCGGGGTCATTTTGGGCATTGGCTCAGTTGGCTCTTTGCCAGGCCCTGGCATTGCTCATTTCCAGTTGTGCTGCAAATGCCGTACTCCGCCTCTGCCCGCTGTCAGGAAATGGTACCTTCGTGGTGTTGGCAGTGGCCATAAAGAGAGCCCCCCAGAGTCCTAGAATCAAGTCTGTTCACGCGAGTCCCGGTCAGCATGCAGCAGGTGTGCACGTGTGGACCAGGTCCAGCGTGTCAGCACCGGGGTCCCCTGGGACCACCTGCACTGGAGCTCCAGGCACGAGGGGCAGCTGAGGCTGCCGCGCCTCGCGTGACCGCGCGTCCATCTCTCGTGGCTGCGCGCTGCTTTCCTGAGGGGCCGCCTGGCCCACGGGAGCAGATGCGGCTCGGCCAGACTGGTGGTGCCGTGCAGTGAAGGGTGAGAGGAGCAGAGGCCCAGATCCCAGCAGAGCACGAGTCGGGCCTGCCTGCTGCTGGTCGGAATGGGAGACAGTCACAGCACATTCTTGTCAGTCAGTCTGAGCTCAGCGCGCGGTGGCCTCAGCACGGCCCTGAAGGACGGCCCGGGTGCTACGCTTCTCCACGTGCCGTCTCCTGTCCCAGGAGCTGCTGCGTGCAGACAGCGGCAGTGCTCAGCCTCCGGCACTTGAGTTCTACCAAGAACATCTAAGTGTCTCTGAGTTCTCAGTCAGGATCTGTGCATGTATTTCAGTTCAGAAATTACTCGTCAGCATAATCTACACTGATGTTAAAATCGCTTTGCTTTGTAATAATTTTGTGAATAAAGCTTAAAGCCTTTGTTTGCTTACATTTTGTTAATAAAGTTTCATAAACCCTTGTATCACTCAGTTTGTAGTTTAGGTAACTGTGCAAACTTGGAAATGACCACGAAGTGTCTCAGAGGCTCACACTGCTAATGTTTCATTAGGTGCCAACATCTTCCTCACCTCCTCTGGACTAATCAAACTGGGGGACTTCGGGTGCTCAGTGAAGCTTAAGAACAACGCACAGACCATGCCCGGTGAAGTGAACAGCACGCTGGGCACAGCAGGTGGGCACTGGTGGGATCTTCTGGGCGCTGACTCCCTCCTGGCGCTTGGCTTTCTCTCTGCCTCTTGTCCGCATTGCCTGGGAGAGCAGGTCAGTTCTGACGCACCGAGGACTGCGTCTGCAGACACCCGGCTTCCTCCAGAGACCGTGTCAGGCTGGGAAGACGTTTCCCTTTGAGTAAAGCAGGCATGGAGGCCTTGCTCCCTAGAAAAGCTGGTTTCACATTGGGCTCATTAAGCTGTCCTAGTCCAACATGTGATATGAAATGCGATGACTTGTTCTGCTTGTTCAGTGGTGTATGTTTTACACCCTCCTCTGTAGGTTAACATTCATATTTTCATTGTGAATACAATTCATCTGAAAATTGGCACAGTACAAAACTCTTTGAGAAGATAATTTGCCCCATAAAACATCATTCAAGAAACTGATTTGAGCCCTGGCCAGTTTGGCTCAGCGGTTAGAGCGTCGGCCTGCGGTCCAGAGAGACCCGGGTTCGGTTCCCGCTAAGGGCATGTACCTCCGTTGCAGTTTGTCCCTGGCCCTGGTTGGGTCGTGTGGGAGGCAGCCACTCGATGTGTCCCTTTCACGTCGATGTTTTTCTCTCTCTCCCTCTTCCTCTCTCTCCCTCCCACTCTACCTGAACAAAAAACAGAAAAAGGTCCTCGGGAGAGGATAAAAGAAAAAATTGAAATCCCTATTTTCAAGTTTCACCGTTTCATGTTATGTGGTTCGGGACAGTTTCCCCTTGGCCCAGTGCTGTTCCCTGTGCAGTGTGTGTGCTTGCTGGTCTGACGTGGCGCTGTGTGGTTAGCCACCTGTCACCATGTCTGTGACTTTTAAAGCATACATGGCTCCGGAAGTCATCACTCGCGCGAAAGGAGAGGGCCATGGGCGTGCGGCCGACATCTGGAGTCTGGGCTGTGTTGTCATCGAGATGGTGACTGGCAAGGTAAGCAGAGCCCATCCGGAGAGACATGAGGGGCAGCGTGCGTGGATAGGGCCGTGACTGGTTCATCATCACGGGAGATATGGGGGACACACTTTGTGCTAAATAGAGAATATGACTAAAGATGAAAAATGTGATCTATCAAAAGTACAGTAAGATTAAAACATGTGATATCCAGAAATCAAATATTTTAAGCTATATCATTGAGACCTCTTAAGAGTAAATAAAAACACGAAGCGTGACGTGAAACATGGAGCAGCAAGCAGCTACAGGAGAAATACGCAGTTGAAAACTGTCCACCCCAGACTGGCACATGAATCAGCTTTATTCATCATTGCCCAAACTTAAAGCAGCCAGGGCCTCTCAGTAGGTAAATGTATAAGCACATTGTAATCTGCAACAGAATAGTATGCAGCAATAAAAAATGCACTATCGAGCTATAGATTGCTGAGTGAAGGAGGCCATCTGAAAGGGTCGCACACTGCATGATTCTTTTTATCTTTATTGTTGAGAGTATTACAGATGGTCCCCCCCCTTTTCCCTCTATTGACTTCCTCTTCTCCACGCTCCCCCTCCCCACTTTCCCCAAACTGTTGTCCATTGGTTATGCATACGCATACATGCTTATATGTTCTTTGGTTTATCTCTTCCCATCCCCCGACTGCATGATTCCCACAACATGACATTCAGGAGAGGCTCAACTACCGAGGCAGGAAGAGATCAGTGGTTGCTGGGGCCTAGGGGAGAGGGAGGGGGACAACCAGGCGCAGCACAAGGATTTTTAGGGCATGAAACTGTGATACTGTGTTTGAAAATTGATCTTCTGATGAAGACATGATTAATGAACAATTATACAAATGTACAAAGGCAGTGTGTATGTGTAGCATTATTATTATTATCATCATCATCATCATTGTTAATCCTCATCCGAGGATATTTTTCCATTGATTTTTTTTTTTTAGATAGAGTGGGAGGGAGGTAGGGAGGAACGGGTGGAGAGAGAGAGAGAGACATCAGTGTGAGAGAGACACATCAGTTGGTTGCCTCCTATACAACCCCGACTGGGGCTGGGGATCAAACCTGCAACCAAAGTGCGACGTGCCCTTGACAGGGAATCGAACCCAGGACCTTCGGTTGCAGGTCTATACTCTAACCACTGAGTCAAACCGGCCAGGGCAGTAACATTATTTATAAAACAAAAAAGTTAAAATACAATGCACTTGCTGAAGAAGGCCACACATAGTTCTTACTAAGTATTAGCTAATATCATTTCCGTCAGTGTTGAGATAGAAAGATGGCCTGATACCTGTGATCTCAGCCCAGCCACATCAGAGGAACAGCAGGTTTCCACACGTCACAGTAAGCAGTGTATACAAATGAGACAGACACACACACTGAGCTGTTTCCTCCACTAAGCTCATTTTTCCTATGATCACAAAATTTTAAGCTTTGCAGTAATAGAATTTGATGCTCATTCAACAAGGTAGCAGAGTAAACAGCCCTAAAAATAACTGTTGAATTTTGGTTTATTGACATTTTCATTTCATTTCATGTATTACCTTTTTTATTTGCTTGATGATGGCATCTAGATAATGCAGGACTGGCACCCTCTGCTTGTGTAAGTCCAGTTTCACTGGGCCATGGTCTCACCCATTCACTCACCTGTGGTCTGAGGCTGTGTTCCCGCAACATTGGGAGAGCAGAGATGTTGTGACAGGGACCATGTGGCCTGGAAGCCTGAAATGTTTACTGCCAGACCCTTTAAGTAAAAGTTTGCCAGCTTCTGGTGTGTGTATATATATATGCGCGCCCCAAAAAGATTGAGAAATTACTTATTTTTTATGGCCATGTAGTATTAAAGCCTGATTTTTTTTTCTCTGTAGAGGCCTTGGCATGAATATGAACACAACTTTCAGATCATGTATAAAGTGGGAATGGGGCATAAGCCACCCATCCCTGAAAGGCTGAGCCTGGAAGGGAAGGACTTCCTCTCTCACTGCCTCGAGAGCGAGCCCAGGATGAGGTGGACAGCCAGCCAGCTCCTTGACCACTCCTTCGTCAAGGTGCGCAGTCCTCCGTGCGGCGCTGCAGTTCTGCTGCCGTAGCAGGCCCGTGAGGGGGTCTGGAGGGTTGAATATAGAATCTCTAGGTCTAGGTCTGAAATGGAAAGGAACATTTAGTTATACCCTGGAATTTTGTGCATGACGGTTTCTTTCTGGGAAATGTTCATTGTGGTTCTCCTTCTTGCTCACTGTGGAGGTGTTTGAGGTGCGCTTGGGATAGCTAGTGGGATTCTAAGCGGGCTGGGGGAAAGAGTTTCCCTTCCGAGAGCCGTCTCCCCGAGAGGTCAGGGACGCCCCAGAGCCGTCTCCCCGAGAGGTCAGGGATGCCTCACCGCACTAAGAGAGTAGAGACAAGGTTCAGAGTGATGCTTATGTTAGAGCTGTGACAATGGTATATAAGCCCTGTTGTGGGGTCAGGTCACCCCCGATGCTACTTTCTCTAGAGTGAGATGTGATGATCTTTTTCGGGAGGGTTTAGCCAGGTCAGGAATGGAGCGAGGGTGTGGCGGACAGAAAGGAAGAGGGTAAATCTGCCCAGGAACTGCGTATGGGTGGGTGCTGAGCACAGGATGTGAAAAGTGCAGCAGGTGAGGCTGGGAAGTGGCAGGGCCGTGGGGGTCAGGCCACCATAAGCGATGTGGTTAAGGCCAGCGGCTCGGCAGGAAGCTGCTGGCGGAGCGCAGTGGGCGTGGGAGGTCAGGTGTGAGTTGCTGGTGACACTGGAGGTAAAAAGGCGGGGAACTCATTGGGGTGGAGGCGAGTGCAGGGAAGGAGCTTAGGGCGGCTCTTGGGCCACTGCCGCGTCCCAGCTCATGGGATCCACCAAGGTGGGGGCGAAGGGCAGTTGGTTGAAGGCCGGTCAGGGATGGTGGTTACCTCCCGCGCAGAGCAAGTTTCAGGTGTATTTGTAACATCTGCTTGGGAATTCAGCCAGGCATTGGATATTTTGAGCTGGCACCAGAGAGAGTTGGGGTAAGGTACAGACGTGGGAGACAGAATGTTGTTGGGAGAGTATTTAGGGAGAAATGGAATGGGGGGGAACCATGGAGGAGACATGGGAGGGCCCTGCCCAGGAGCTTCTGATGCTGGAGGGGAGGTGCTGAGGTGTGACACCTTCCTGGGCCAGTGAAGTTAAAGAACCTTCACCAGAAGTTGGGATCTGCTATTAGGGGTTGTGACTGAAGAAACATGTATTTCTTCCTTGAAAGTATATGAAGCATTCAGATTGACTTGCTGTTGAACAAAGGCACCGGTACAAAAGCACTTTCGGCAGGCAGCTCCAGGGCAGTGATTCAGCGCTGACGGACCCGTGTCAGTGCAGCCCTCTCTGGGCACCAGACGCAGAGCTGGGCCTCGTGCGTCAGGCCTGCCCGCCGTCGGTCTCGTTGGGGGCGTGAGTAGGGCTCAGCTCTCCTGCCTTCCCCACAGGTTTGCACAGACGAAGAGTGAAGGGAGCAGCCTGCGGCTCGGGGCGTGTGCACGCGGAAGATTCCTCAACCACTGCTGTATGTGACATCTCCACGAAGACTGCGCGAAGCAGCGCCAGCCTTCCTGCTTCCAGGACTGAAGGTGCACAGGCGAGGGCGCCGCTGCTGCTCCGGCCGTTCGGCCTGGCCGGGCCTCCCGAGCGCCAGTGTCCACGAGGTAAAGCAGCTGCATGTTAAGTGCCATTTCTACTGTACACGGACCATCGCCTCTGTCACCCCGTTTCTTGCGTGACTGAGACCCGTGACATCAGTGTAGTGTTTGGACCTCCCGGGGTTCACAAGCAGTTGTAGTGCGATCAGGTGTCCTGGGCCGTGCTGTCGTCTCCTGTTTGTCCAGTGCACTGACTGAAACCTGACCTCTGTTGTTGGCAAGGTTTGTTATCGAAAGACTGGTGGATGAAATTTAAGGAAAGGTTCCTTTTTTCAATAAATGGTTTATTTTAGGAAAGCACAGTTGCATTGTCTTTTTTTAAAATCCTCACCCGAGGATACTCTTTTCCATTTTTATCTTCAGATAGAGTGGGAGAGAGAGAAACATCGATGCAAGAGAGACACATTGATTGGTTGCCTCCCGCACGACCCTGACCAGAGCCAGGACTGAACTGCAACCAAGGTACTGTGAATTGAACCTGCGACTCTTTGGTCCGCAGGCTGACACTCTACCGCTGAGCCAAACCGGCCAGGCACACCATCTTTTATTGCTTATCAGCTTCAGAGCCAACGTGACCTGACACAGGTGTGTGACTCCCAGTCCAGCGTTCCTGGAAGAAGGGGCACAGTTTGGGGCTGAAGGTGGGCACTGGCTGGGCGTTCCTGTAGGCGCTCAGCCCCTCGGCGAAGGGAAGGAGAACGAAATGCCCCTGATGGGAAGGGCAGAGGGTTGAAAGGTATTTACATCAGCCCCAATTTGTACCAGCTGACCGTGTAAGTTCGCTCTCACAAGGCGGGGTGAGGGGCTCAGGTTGTTTACACCCAGATGTGAAGGCGCTAGGTCCGCGTCAATCCTGCGAATAGTCTTGCGACAGGACACGGCTTTTCAGAATGTGAGCGCTTCAGCAGTTAGTTTTCGACAGCATCCCAATCATGTCGGTGGTGGTCGTCTTCCATTGCTTTTGGCTGCTAAATCGTCAAGTTTCCTGAAGCTTTTTTCTATGATCACTGACTCAGCCCTTGAACAGAGCAGCTGACTGGACGAGAGACTTCTCAGGCAGGTTCCGCATCCGCCTCCCTCCAGCGTCACGGGTCCTCACCAAGCGATCAATGTCCAGGGCAGGCTGGCAGCACAGCAAGCTCGGACACCTGGGCTTTTCTGCGCAGTTGCCGTGTTTTAAAACAGCTTTGAAGTACAGCTTACACAAGCATCGTTTGATGGCTCAGTATAGTCGTGTGGCCATCAGCACAATCTACTTGAGAACAGTTCCATCCCCCAAACATCTCATGTCCATTTGCGTCACTCCCCACCCCCGCCAAGCCGCCGCAGTGTCTCTAGATCCACCTCTTCTGGACATTGCATACAGAGTCCTCCAGTAGTATCTGGCTTCTTTTGTTGTGCACAGTCCTTCTGAGTCCATCCGGGCCGCGGCACGGTCCCTGCTCGCTCCTCGTCGCCGGCACGGCTCCGGTGCTGACAGGCTCCCGGCCCTGCACAGCGCCTCTCTGGATGCCCTGACGACGCTGCTCTGAGCAGCCCCTCACCTGTCTCCTGCGCACGCTCTGCTCTCTCGGGAGCGGGGCTGCGGGCTCCTGGAGCAGATCCACGTCCAGTGTGTTAAGGGACTGCCCGCTATTTCCAGGGTGGCTGCGGGGCCTGGCGTTCCCAGGAGTTACCGCGAGGCTCAGCGTCTCCAGACCCTCTCCATTCCCTGGTGTCTTAGTCTTGGGAAAGAGCTGACCTGGTCTGTGACGTGGCGCCTGTGGGTTCGAGCTGCATTGCCCTGGTGATGGTGGCGTCTCTGTTGCTTGGTGGCCATCTGCTTATCTTCTTTGGTGAGACGTGTTTGAATCTTCTCCCATTTTTTACTTGGGTTAGACTTGTGAGGAGTCTCTGTGTTCTGCATTCAAGTCCTGTACTGGGTATATGATTCGCAGATGATTTTTTCTCAGGCTGTGGCTTGTCTTTTGAAGCACAAACATTTTTTTTTATTTAAAATTTTGAAGTCTGGTTGATCACCTTGTTCGTTTTTTTTTAATCCTCACCTGAGGACATTTTTACATTTTTTGTTCAGATAGAATGGGAGGGAGAGAGGAAGAGAGAGAGAGAGAGAGAGAAACATTGACGTGAAAGGAACACATCGAGTGGCTGCCACCCGCATGACCCAGCCAGGCCGGGGACAAACTGCAACCGAGGTACGTGCCCTTAGCGGGAACCGAACCCAGGTCTCTCCGGACCGCAGGCCGACACTCTAACCGCTGAGCCAAACTGGCCAGGGCGATCACCTTGTTCTTTATTGCATGTGCTCTTGGTACCATATTGTTACAGGACAGTGTGTGTGAGGTGCTTGTAACTGTATCTAAGAAATCGTTTCCCAACCCCTGTCATAAAGGTACACACCCAGGGCCTGCTGGTGGCTCCATTGGTGGGAGCATCATTCCGTACACCAAAAAGTTGCAGGTTTGATTCCCGGGCAGAGCACCTATCTAGGTTGTGGGTTCAGGCCCTGGTCAGAGCACATATGGGAGGCAACTGTTGGTTTCTCTCTCATCAGTGTTTCTTTCTCGCCCCCTCCCCCCCACAAAAAAATCAATAAAAACATGTCCTCGGAGAGGATTAAAAAAAGATACCTATATTTTCTTCTGAGAGTCTTGAGGTTTCAGCTGTTACATTTAGATCTATGATTTCCTTTTAGTTCATTTCTGTGTGATGTCGGACGAGGGTTCCCTGTGCACTTGGAGCAACTCCTTCCTTTCCGTTAGTTGTGGACTAGACGAGGCAGAAGAGTTGTGCTCCTTCTCCCACGACCCCCCTGTTGTCGCAGGGGCGCCACGGAGCCCTGACCCTGTCCCTCAGCTGCACCTGGCTGATTCTGGGTGCCGCACCGTCAGGCAGGCAGAGGCTCCTGTGCGCGGGGAGGCCGAGCCTCCCATCGGCTGTCAGTGTCGTCTGCCGGGCCTTCCTCATCGTTTGCAGACGTGGGCAGAAGCGTTCCGAAGCTCTTGATGACTGCCCTTCGTTCCCCAGAGTGCTGGGCAGAGGTCTGGCCGGAACTAGACTGCGGACTGGAGACGAGAAAGTGCAACGTGTGTTCCTCAGAGCGTTCTAGAAGCCGAAGGGGCTGTTGCAACCCGAACTTGGTCTCCATGCTGCTCACTTCCTTAAAAGTCCACAGCACACACAGGTCCCAGAAATTCCCCAAATACAGGGTCAATCCCACATGGAAATAAGATTGTGCCTTTGCAGTAGAAAACACATTAAAGGCAGAAACTGTGTCTTGCTCAGCGGAGAGCTTCCCGAGCAGCCCTGGGAGGTCATTTCTGGGTACAGAAGCTCTGAGCAGTGCTCAGAGTTAATGGAGTCCCAGCCTGATACCTCCCCGGGAAGGCTGTGGGCGGAGGGTGCCTGGCCGGGCACGCTCACCCCTCCCTGGAGACAGCGGACACTGACCATCCGCGCACAGAGGTCCGTTTTACCCCGGGAAAGGGAACCCAGAGAGGACCCTGGGAATTAGTTCCTGAAGCCTCCACGCCCGTGTCCTCTTCAGTCTTCACCGAGGGCCCAGTGTACCAGGCTGTGGTGGAGGGGCCCGGGAGCCGACCCCTGCCCGTGCGGTGGCGCTCCGAGGACACACTCACGTCCAGGGGAGACTGCTGACCGCTGTGACCGCAGCAGAGGTCAGTCAGGCGAGGATCACAAGCACCCATTGTTGCCAGGCACTGCGAATGTCACGTGTCGGGGGCCAAGGACACACAGAGGTGGCTTGCCCTCTGCCCCCCCGCCCCCCCGCCCCCCCCCATCGTTGTGCATCTTTACGACGTCAGATCGATGTGTCCACTCACAGTGGTGGACTGGGCGCTCTCAGTGGTGGTGGTGGGGGTCCGCTCACAGTGGGGGGCGGGGCGCTCACAGTGGGGGGCGGGGGCGCTCACAGTGGGGGGCGGGAGGCTCACAGTAGCTCCCTGCGCGTCAGGACAAGCCTTGCGGGGCCGGAGGCTGCACAGGGCAGTGAGCTCGTGTCCCGACTCCTCGCTTCATTCTGCAAACGGCACACAAGGCCTCCTTCCCTTTGGGCATCGCGAAATGGTACTGAAGGGGGGCCCACTCGGACACCTCACAAGACAACCCAGGTGACCTGTGACGGCCGCTGGGGAGTCACACGGGCGAGGGCCCCTCCTCAAAGCTCCGGGAGGCTGCGGTGGTGCAGAGCGCACGCAGGCCGCACTGTGGCCTTAGCCTCCGAAACGCGAGGGACAGGAACTGGCGCCCTGTCCTCCTGCGGCCCCGGGACTCCGGCTGCACCCAGAGCGCCTCTCACGTTAGCCCGGCACACGTGGGGCACGTCTGGCCGGTGCCTCCGAGAGCTGGGAGCACGGGGCAGGTCCACGGGAGCGTCCCCTGACGTCTTCCTGCCCACGTTCGGCCAAGGTCGCGAGTCTGAAAGCCTTTGCGGAGCCTCATCTGTTCTGCTTGGGGACCAGCCACTCTGCCAGGACGGAAGCCAGAGCTGCCAGGGCCCTTTGTGTGTGTCTGTCCCATCAACTACTGCTGTGCTTTGGCCGGACAGTTAATTGTCATAGGATTTTACATCGAAGTTACTGTTTTGCAGATCTACTGACAATTGTATTAGAAGAACAGTAATGTTTAAAAAATTCTTAAACATCAGCAGCTACTTTTGCACGCATTTATTTACAGAATACAGCAGTCAAGGTCTTTCCAGTGCCTGTGTGATCAGAGGGAAAGGTGTGTTCTCTACAGAGGTAACAAGGTGACGGACGAACGAGGTGCCTTAGCTCTGCCTCCGGGTCATCATGCTGCCCGGTCACATGTCCGTCCGTGCTCCCCAGACGGGCCACGCCCTGCCTCAGAGAGCTGGTGTGAGCGGAGAGCCGACGGCCTGCGGCTCCTGCTGCGGGAGGCCGGGCTGACCTGCTGTCCCTCGGCCACGCTGCCCCCCCCCGGATGTCCACAGTGATGACCTGCTGTCCCTCGGCCACGCTGCCCACCCCCCGGATGTCCGCAGGGCTGACCTGCTGTCCCTCGGCCATGCTGCCCCCCACCCCTGAGTGTCCGCAGGGCTGACCTGCTGTCCCTCGGCCACGCTGCCCCCCCCCCGGGTGTCCGCAGGGCTGACCTGCTGTCCCTCAACCACGCTGCCCCCCCGGGTGTCCGCAGGGCTGACCTGCTGTCCCTCGGCCACGCTGCCCCCCGAGTGTCCGCAGGGCTGACCTGCTGTCCCTCGGCCATGCTGCCCCCCACCCCCGGGTGTCCGCAGGGCTGACCTGCGCGGAGATGACGTCGGCTGACAGCATGTCCCTATGATGCATCACGGGGGACCACGGTGCTTAAGCAACACAGATTTTAATTTAGAAAAATTAAATGTGCCCAGAGATCCCTGCTGAGATCAGGACGTTGTGAGGCCTGAACACAGGCTCCGGACCCCGGAGGGATGACCAGTCCGCAGGATGCTGTGCGTCTCTGCCCTCAGGGGCACCAGGAAAACCAGGCCCCACACGCCTGATGGCCCCTCTCTCTGAGGAAGGGCCAGACACCTGGGAAGGGTGTCAGGACCCCACCCAGCACCCACGCTCTCTCGATGCCTACGGCAGTTGTTCTTTCCCAGAACTGTTTGTCCTCTTCCTGACCTGGGCCTGAGGCTCTGGGGAGGGGTGTGTGTGTGTGTGTGTGTGTGTCCTTGGTATGTTTTGTTTGGTTCAGGGCCAATTCAGAAAAAAACAATGTCCACAACCCCATTTACTGTCCAGGTGGGGTGTGACTAGAACGTAGATCACCACTGTACTGAATGGGAGGATCGCAGTGAGAGAGGACACGTGTTTGGACTCTTCGGGGTCATTTCTGAGCATTCAGGGGAAGTGGCAACATGGAGGCAACCTCTCATCTCCCGTCTGTTACCTGTGTCGCTCACACACTGCCCGGTGCCCTCGAAGCAAACCACTGGGTGGGCGTCACCTCTTTCACAGACGGGATGCCAGGCTGGAGCAGGGGGAACAGCTGGGTTAGGGTCCCGGGAGTCCCTCCGAGGGTGACTGCCGCTCAGAGCCGGCCAGCGCTCTGCTGCTTCCCTGACGTCCCCGCGTGGCTGCGTTCCCTGGGGCAGAGCACGGACACCCTCTGCGGGACAGCTGGCCCGGCCACGGCCTTCCCCAGGGCACGGTCCCGTCTGCCGGCTCCTTCATGTTTCCACGGGAGCCCGCATGGCTTTGGGGGACCTAGTTTCCCCTTGTTCCCGGGGTGAACGGAGGGTGTCAGGTCAGCTCAGGTCACCACCAAGTGCCCAGGTTTCACTGTGTGCCCACTTTTAAGATCGGGTGCTTCAGGGCGTTGGCACGTCTCCGAGACGGGGCAGAAGCCAGCAGGCGACTGGGCTCAGAGCCGCCTCCCAGCCTGTCTCCCAGCACTGGCCGCCTTCCTCAAACACCCCTGTGGGCTCCCACTCCAGTCTGCTGTCGGAGTGGTGGTCGGGGTGGCACCCCCCTGCCCCTGGGACCGCGGAGCTGCCCTCCCCGGGCCCTCCGGTGAGCCGCTGCAGACCACTGGTCCCAGACACCAAGCGCGGGGCCGAGCGGGCAGTGGGGGTGGGGTCTGTAAACACACCACGGGGAGCCACACGTGACGAGGCATAATTTAATCATCTCACCTGCAGCGCCTTCCACTCTACCTCTGGCGTCAGGGTTACAGAAAACAGCACCAAAGGATGAAAGAGACACTCGCCCTCGCCCCATCCCTGCCTCCCCTGCACCGCACCCTCGCACCCTGGGCTGCTCACAGGGCGAGGCGGGCCCTCGGCCGCGGTCACCGCTCCGCTCTCTCGCACACACGCATGCACTCACACATGAAAAGAAAGAACCGAGACCCACTACAGCGTACGGGGAAGAAGACATTTAAGCACATCTTCTGCCCCACCCAGCGGCATTGAGACCCAACTCCCTGCCGCCCCAGCAGGGGCTCACCCAGTGTCCCTGGGTCCCACCCAGAAAGACAGGCAGCGTCCACCAGTGCCCCAAGGTCCCCTCTGGGTGGGACGTGTCCTGAGTCAGTCGTTCTGCTTCTGCTTGTTGTCGATGTTGCCGTAGGCGGAGCCTTTGTCAATTTCTGTCACGCCGATCATCCATCGAACCCCCATGGAAGCTGCAGAAACAGGAAGGGCAGGGGTGTTAGGAGGAGCCTGCAGGGGCTCCGGGGTGATGCTGAGACCCACAAGAAGGCAGCTGTCTGCACATCTGATCGGGCATCAGTGGAGGGCTGGCAGGTCTGGGTGCCAACTCGTCATCCCTGCCTAGTTGCCCTGGAGCATGGGCACCGGGTCTCACGGGACCGAGGGACGGCAAGGGAAACAGCAAGGCTGTTCCGTGGGTGGGGCGAGTCCTCCGGCACGTGGTCGGAACTTGGTGGGCCTGCCTGAACGTGGGCCTGCAGAGGAGTCTGACTGCAGGGTGGGGCTTGGGAATGGGGGGCACCGTTCAGGGGAGCTTAGGGAAGAGCACCAGGAGCCCCGAGGGGCGGGGCTCAAACATCTGCTTAGTGCCCGGCAAACAGGCAGAGCCGCGTCCACCGAAAGCCTTTTCTCCGACAGCGGGATTCGGCCCAAACAGGAAGTGGCGGAGAGACGGTGTGACCCCGGGAACTGGACCCCGGGCTGTGCCCCAGAGGCTGCGTGGTCGTGCCCCTCGGGCTGCAGGAGCCTGGTGCGCCTCACTGGGAGGTGCCCGGCGCGAGGCAGGGCCTGGCAGGCAGCCCATGGGAGAGCGCACACCAACGCCCCGGGCCCACAGCCACACCTCTGGCTGTCCACAGCCAGGGAACCCACGTGTCCCCCGGTCAGTGCAGACAGGCAGGGCCCAGCCTGGGGCTGACTCTGTCCCAGTGTGAGGGGAGATGCTAAGTGCGTATTGAGGGCTGAAGAAACGCCAAGACGGACGCCACTGCCCAGAGGCCTTGAAGAGCGACAGGCGGTGACTCGGGGCAGAGCGCAGTAAGGCCGGGCTCATGGCGACAGCTCCTCCAAAGCTCCCGGCACCTCCCCTGGCTCCCGGCACCTCCCGTGGCTCCCGGCACCTCCCCTGGCTCCCCGCACCTCCCCTGGCTCCCTGCACCTCCCCTGGCTCCCCGCACCTCCCCTGGCTCCCAGCACCTCCCCTGGCTCCCTGCACGTCCCCTGGCTCCCGGCACCTCCCGTGGCTCCCTGCACCTCCCCTGGCTCCCCGCACCTCCCGTGGCTCCCTGCACCTCCCCTGGCTCCCCGCACCTCCCCTGGCTCCCGGCACCTCCCCTGGCTCCCGGCAGTGTCAGCCTCCGAGGAGCCACAGCCTTCCCCAGGGGCACTGGCCTCTGTTCGCCTCCTGCGCTGGAGCTGACAGGTGGAGGCCCTGGTGCCACAGGCCCCCGCACACCTGGCCGGCCCGCAGCAGCCCGGGAGGGGGGTCCTCAGGCTGCTGTGGGGAGCCCCATATTAGAGGCTTTTTGCATCCTTCTTTCTTTACTTTTTCTATATAGAGTGAGTGTTCACTTTTTACCGTGTTAGGCGGACAGTGTTAGAGAGCCTGCGTGTGTGTGAGGGTGTGTACGCACACACGTCTGAGACTGGGACACGGCCTCACCCTCTGCTCCCGGGGCACCGTCACCCCACAGGGAGGGCACAGCTGGGCCACCGACGGGGGCTCGGGGACCCAGTGGATGGGGCACGAGGCCTGGGCCCGCGGTTTCCCTGTGGCCTGCTGGCCGGGCCTCACGCCGCTCCGCCTGCGCCCCGGGCAGGTGCCGTCCTCCCTCGCCGGCCACTTACCCACGAAGAAGACGAGGACAAAGCTGGCCAGTGTCAGGGAGGACCCGCTGCTGACCATGCTGACCAGGAAGCGGAAGAAGGGGTAGAGCAGCAGCGAGGCCCAGAACAGCCAGTTCAGGAGCGTCCAGGGCCGCCGAGGGGGCACCATGGGGGTCTCGGGGAAGGTGCCCGTCCTGTGGTAGTCCTCCTGGAAGGCGTCCTGGGGACAGAGGGGACCTAAGTGCTCTCCTCAGACACACCGGGCCCTGCGGGCACCCAACGGGGCTGCCCTTCCCACGCAGAGTGGCACGGAGCTCCGGCTGCGTCCCGCTAGCCTCCCACGCTGGTCTGCCCCCTGCTGCCTGCCCGAGCGGGCGGTGACCAGGCTGAGGCCCGGGCTCTCGGGCAGGCCTGCCATCTGCACGGGTCGGTGGGGAAGGAGACAAGACGCTGCCCTGAGCCGGCTCTCGGGGACCCTACAGAAGGGGGGAGTGCAGACCTGCACCTTGCAATGGAGCCCGCAGCACCCGGCCAGGACACCAGCTCCACCTCCCTGCCATCTCCACCCGGGGCACAGGCTCCCATGGCACCCGGCCGGTCCTGGCCGCAGGGCGCTGCTCCCCGGAGGAGGGGCCCCGCCCAGGCCGGCTCCTCGGCACTGCTCTGGGCCTCCTTCCTCCCTCGGGCAGTGACTGTCCAGACAGCCGAAAAGGTCAGCAGTCCCCTGCGGGAGAGTTGGAGCCGAGTCCCATCTGACTGCGCACCTGAGACTAAATTCCAGGAATTCCGCTCGTCCGGGTCTAAAGTCCCCAGGGCGTGGGTGTCCACAGAGGGTCCCAGTGCAGGGCAGGGCACCAGGAGGCCCGCGGCAGCCTCCTGCGGGGCCCGGCAGCTGGCCCTGGGGGGACCCACGAGGCTGCGCCTGTGGCTGAGTGCGCAGCGCCCCGGAAGCACAGCTCAGTGCTGTGGGCTGGGCAAGGTCGCCGAGGGCGCAGGCGGTGCCTCCAGGGCGGGTCACAGATGCGGACCAGGGCCAGAGGCGACCTCAGTCCAGCGTCAGACAACCATGGGGAGTTGCCCCGTGTCTCAACGATCAAGCTCTGCTAATGCCGGCAACTAAAAGCAGACGCCGTCCGAGCACCCCGGGGTGCAGTGTGCGCCCCGCCAAGCGCGGGGCTCTGCTGCCACAGTTTGTCCCGGTCTCCAGGGAGTCGGGTCTTCCGGAGGAGGGGCTGCCACCTCCTTCAGGAGCTGACTCTTTCACATGAGGTAGAAATGGCTGGAGTACATCATGCGTCTCTTCCAGTCAGCGGACAGAAAAACAGGCCTTGGTGACCACTCAGTGATTATTTCTAAGTTGATACACAAAACGGGGCGTTTGCAAGAAGCTTTGACCTCTTCCAGGGAGAGGGGAGCTCTCTGTGCGCCCTTCCCCGGCCCAGGCCTGCCTCCCTGGTCCTGTTTCCCGGGGCAGCTGGGGGCCGGGAGGTGCTGGGGGAAGCCCAGTAATCCAGCAATCTCAGGACAGTGGGCCGTGTGCGAATGCCCCCACCCTCCGGAACGGAGGGAGACTGAGCTGGGCCCTAAACACCAGTCTCACGAGGAAGTGACAGTGCCCATGGGATGCCCCGAGAGATGGCACCTGACTGCCAAGGCCTCCCAGGTCACCCCCCTGCCAGAAACGTGGGTGATTTTCCTCAGCCCAGGCTGGGGCCACCGGGAGCTGGATAACTAGGTGAAGGGGTGTGATGGACTGAATGTGTCCCCCTAGACTCATAAGCTGAAACCTAACCCCTGAGGTGATGTATTAGGCTCAGAGCAGAGTGACCAACGTCTACCTGCCTCAACACAGGTGGGCCGGTCGAGAACCAGCTCCTACCTCCACACAGGTGGGCAGGTCCAGAACCATCTCCTGCCTCCACACAGGTGGGCCGGTCGAGAACCATCTCCTACCTAAACACAGGTGGGCCGGTCCAGAACCATCTCCTGCCTCCACACAGGTGGGCCGGTCCAGAACCATCTCCTACCTCAACACAGGTGGGCCGGTCCAGAACCATCTCCTACCTAAACACAGGTGGGCCGGTCGAGAACCATCTCCTACCTAAACACAGGTGGGCCGGTCCAGAACCATCTCCTGCCTCCACACAGGTGGGCCGGTCCAGAACCATCTCCTACCTCAACACAGGTGGGCCGGTCCAGAACCATCTCCTACCTAAACACAGGTGGGCCGGTCCAGAACCATCTCCTACCTAAACACAGGTGGGCCGGTCGAGAACCAGCTCCTACCTCAACACAGGTGGGCCGGTCGAGAGCCATCTCCTTTGCTTTGATGGGGTTGGGGCTGCATTTGCTGCTGATTGGCTGGTATGACCCTTTACAAAAGGACTCATTTCTGAGGCCTTTCTGAGCACATCGGCATCTGCTAACAGTGGCAGTCTTGACACTGCCTAAGCGCCGGCCAGAAAGCCCACGAGGACACGCTGCCCCTGCCGGAAACCGGAGGGAAGGCGTTTGCACCGTCAGGCCCGGGCATGCACCAGCACAGCCTCGAGCGCGGGCCGGGCCCACACCTGGGTCCTCACGCCCTCGGGGTCGGAAGCAGCTGCCCTGGGAACACACATTCCTCGGCCCCAGGTGTCCTGCTGGCGGGTAAAGGAGCCCCTACGAGAGGCGCCCGGAGCGCTGTGCCCAGACCCCATCCAGAAACGAGACCACAGTGGCAGGTCTGGGCGCGGCGTGTAAAGGCATCATTGCAAACTCACGTCCTGGGAGCACAGAGCCACTTCCTGCTGAGAGAATCTTGGGGTTTTCATTTAAAACCCTGATTACATGATCAAGACTGACTACTGCACCTGGAGGGCATTTGGGCCCAAATCCTAAAACACTCCCGAGCTGGGATGAACTCATTCCCCAGCGGGGGGGCACCGAGGTCCGTGGGCCGGTCTCGCGAGGAATGGGGGAGAGGCGGCAGGGCCGGCAGCCCGTGTCCATAGAACAAGGACATTCGAGTCCTGCGCGCACTGGATTCTGGGTGTAAAGTGTGCGACGGGTGGTGGGACCTGGTCATAGGAGTGCCGTGCTCACCAGGCAGAAGCTACACTTTGCTCCTTCCGTGGACCGAGCAGCTGGGAGAGAACCAGCAGACTCTGCCCTGCACGTGTCTTAGAGAGAACCTGGTGGACGGCCAGGCCGTGCTCAGGAGGAAGAGAAAGTGGGGGGCTGGGGAGCTGGGCTGCAGACCGGGGGATCTGCAGAGATCACACCGGGCCCGAGCGGATGTCTGTGCTGCCCACTATGCCGGCGGTGTTGAGACAAGACAGGCGCCCGGACTGTGGGCCCAGGAGTCACCAGGACAGGGCACTGTTAAGGGGAACACCACACCCCCAAGAACATTTTGCCTTAGGAGCAGAGGCAGGAAAACAGACCAGGGCTACGGGGGCCATGACTTTCCCTTCTGCCCACCACACCCATCAAATAGCTCCGTTCTTTCAGTGACGCCTCTTTAAAAATGATTTCGCTATGTTCTTGCCCCAGTTGCTAAGTAGAGGGTCAGCCCCAGGACTGTTACTCCCTGGGGTTTGAGCCCCCGCCCAGAGGGACAAGGCTCGCCACCGCCACCAACTCCCCAGGGCCGCACCGCGCACCGGGCAACAGGAAGCGCGTGCGTGGCGCCCGCAGAACGGCCGTGGCACTGACCTTCTCCTGGTAGAGCCTGTGCAGCCAGGCCGCACACTCGTCCTCGTCCTCTGGGACTTCTTCTAGAGGGATCCGCCTGCGAGGCAGAGACAACAGCAGGGGGAGCCCGGATCACTCGGACGGAAGGGGGGATCCGCATCCATGCCGGAACCACCAAGGGGACATCGCCTCTCTGCGTCCTCCCTCCCACCTTGCGGAGAGGCCCCGGTCGAGAGCCACCCTGCCTCAGTTTCCACACGAGACAGTCCAGTACACACAGACGCCACTGACAGCAGGCTGGTACTTTTCTCAGCCAGGTCATGACGTAATGCTAACGGCCAGGCGTCTCCCATCAAGCGATGCCCGAGGTCTCCCGGGGAGTGTGGAGGCAGACGTCCTGCAAGGGTTCTGCTGAACACAAGGACACACGTCTCGGGGAACTGTTGATGCTCCCCGGGAGGGAGAAACCAGGGACCCTCCCAGGATTGGCAGCTCAGGACGGCCCTTGGCAGGTGCCGAGCACAGCACGTCCTGTGATTCCGGGCGGGCAAGTCCACTGGCTCGGAGCGCATCAGAGGACGGTGCGGTGGTCAACGGGCCCTGCCGGCTGCTTCCTCCCGGGCTCCTCGTGGCCTCCGGGCGGGGCAGTGGCCTGCGCATGGCCTGTGGAGGTGAAGTCAGCTTGCAAACTGATTGCTGGGGTTTCCCCAAACACCCAGGGACCCGCTGGCCCAAGTGGAGTTCCTGCCAGGTGTTGAACGAATTCGGGTGATGAAACCTCACTTCCCTTCTGGGAGAGGGCGTCCTCCGGGGAGGTGGGTGCGTTTCCCGCCCTCGTGGCCCTACGGCTGAGTGAGAAGGTAGACAGCAAAGGCAGGAATCAAGCTGCTGCTCAAACCGGACACGGTTGGACAGGTGTCGGTCCCCCAGCGCATCTCTCCAGGGAGGCTCGAGCCTTCCTACAGCCTGGGGAGCCAGCCCTGAGTCCCCAGCACTGTGGCAACCGGGCATCTGCAAGGCCTTTGAAACAACCGGGATGCTGCAGGACCCGGCTGGTTCTCCGACACTGGGCGTTTCCGATCTTCTCGGTGAGACAGTCACCGCAGAGAAGCCGGTCCCCAGGCCGCCCCGGGGGGGGGTTGTGCGTGAATCCCATTGTTTTGCTCGGATGTGTCTTTCAGTCGCTCCCACTGGTCTTGGTCAGACTCCTGAAAGCCCACGGACCAGCGAACAGAACTGGTCTCACGCCTGGGGCGTGTCCTCAGCGGCTCTGAGACACCACGGTGTGTTCTTGGCTCCAGGCCTCCGTAAGTCCCCTGTGCACTTATCTGTGTGGATCTGTACGAAGCAGACACATCCTCCACAAAGGGGTCCACACCAGTCCCTCCACACTCAGTCTCAAAATGACTGTACGTTACTGACACCCGTCGGTCCAGCCCAAGCTCCACGGTCAGAGCGAGTCGGCGAGAGGACAGGAGCAGAAAGGAGACCCGCGTGTTCCCAGCACTGGGGTGTCCCGAGTGCAGGACACCAAGGCAGGCTGTGGACACGTTTAGTTCGGCACAGACAGGGAGACACAGGCGAGTCCCCGGAGCAGGGCTGTGGCTCCCTGGCGGGGGGCTCACTTCGAGGCGGGCACTGACTTCGGGGAGGGAGGGGCGTCGGCTCACCTGACATACAGGTCCGCGTGGTATTTCTTTCCGTTCAGGACTCCCAGCAGGGTAGGGTTCTCATTGTTTCTGAAATTGAGTGTACAGTCATATACAGCTGAAACTATAAAAAATAAAACAAATACAAAGCAGTATAGAGCGTGTGAACCCAGTTTTGTTTCGCAGATACACACAGTGGAAAACAATCATCAAAGCACTAGTGGTTCTGGTGGAGCCACGGGGTCGCGGGCTCCCTGGCCACGCTGCTCTGCCTCGGCCGAACGTTTCGCACGGAGCACGCCCTGACGCCTCGCGGTGGAAAGCCGACGGGTTACGGGGTCGGAGGGGTGCAGGGCAAAGCTGCGGTGAGTCTGAGGGACACCGCCCCGCCCCGGTCGCAGCGAGCTGGCAGTAAGACAGAGCGACCCGGAGCACCCTCCCCAAGGGGTGAGAGAGGGCAGCAAGCCTCCTGTGGGGTCCCCCCTGGGAAGGAAGACACGTGCACCAGGCTGAGGCGGGAAATGACGGAACTGAGCCCCGGTCACTGGAAACACGGCTGAGAAGCAAACAAGAATCTATCTGGCTCTGCGGCCCTGGTGTGGGCCAACCAGGGGAGCACTCGAGTCCACACCCCCTCCTGAGCCGCCGGGGGCCTCGCGGGAGCAGAGGGGACCTGGGCGCCAGGCCACGTGGACAGAGCCACGTTCGACCGGCTGCGTCTCTCCCTCCGGGCAGTGCCCAGCCTGTCCCTGCACACAGCCAGCGGCCCTCCAGCCCCTGTGGAGACGGGCTCAAGCGGCTCTGGGAGGACGGCTGGAAAGAGTAAAGAATGGCCTTTCTAAACCGACGGGACAGGGTTGAGGAGGGGACAAGGGAGTCACGACCAGAGACTGGAGACCCTTGTTGCTACTTTCTTCTCACTGTCGCCTACAGTGACTCAGGGCCCAAGCTCAGGGCGCCGCTGCACGGACGAGCAGGAAATGCACACAGAGCAAAACAACAACCTGGTCTAACCTGGGCGAAGGTGGGGCGCACTGGACCCAGTGGAGGACCCAGATCCCCTCCCACCTCCCACCCACACACTTGCAGTACCGGTGCCGAGCAGTGGAGGGCAGTGTTGCCTCAGAGTGAGTGCCAGTGCGAGAGTGTGTGTGTGTGTGTGTGAGTGTGTGCACGTGCACACGCATGCAGGCAGCAGCCACACCTCCCACGCCAGGTGCCTGGTCCCTGTGCACCTGCCGTCCTTGTCCCCGATCCCTCCCAACTGCTACCACAGTCAGCTGGGCAGCCCGGCCAAGGACAAAGCTGTGCACGCAGGGCTGCGGGGGTGGTCTCCTTGCTGCAGTGGCGGCGGGGGCCGGGGTCTTCCTTACCTACATCTCTCAGGCTCCTCACAGTGACAGCGAAGCCCTTGGTGCGCGGCAGCAGGTGGTACTTGAGGCTGGGCAGCCCCTTGGCCTGGGCCACCTGCATGCTAATCTGGTGTTTCTTCTCTGTGAAGCGGGTGCCCTCGCAGTGAATCAGGAACTGGAAGGGACAGGGCCCGGTCACACGCGGCCCTGCAGACACACGTGCCCCCCTCACACACTGGAGTCACACATGGTCCCAGACACTCCTGTGGGCCTGGTGAGGGGGGGGAGGCATGGTGGTGGCATCTTCCTGTCCTCACGGTGAACCTAGCGACTGGCCATCCTCTGCTGACAGCTCAGGGCAGTGTGTGTGTGTGTGTGTGTGTGTGTGAGAGAGAGGAATATCCTGAATGTGTGTGTGTGTGACAGAGTCAGAAACATCCTGAATGAGTGTGTGTGTGAGAGACAGAAACATCCTGAATGAGTGTGTGTGTGTGTGTGTGACAGAGACAGAAATATCCTGAATGAGTGTGTGTGTGACAGAGACAGAAATATCTTGAATGTGTGTGTGTGAGAGACAGAAATATCCTGAATGAGTGTGTGTGTGTGTGACAGAGACAGAAATACCCTGAATGAGTGTGTGTGTGACAGAGACAGAAATATCCTGAATGAGTGTGTGTGTGACAGAGACAGAAATACCCTGAATGAGTGTGTGTGTGACAGAGACAAATATCTTGAATGAGTGTGTGTGTGTGACAGAGACAGAAATATCCTGAATGAGTGTGTGTGTGACAGAGACAGAAATATCCTGAATGAGTGTGTGTGTGTGTGACAGAGACAAATATCTTGAATGAGTGTGTGTGTGTGACAGAGGCAGAAATATCCTGAATGAGTGTGTGTGTGACAGAGACAGAAATATCCTGAATGAGTGTGTGTGTGATAGAGACAGAAATACCCTGAATGAGTGTGTGTGTGTGTGTGACAGAGACAGAAATATCCTGAATGAGTGTGTGTGACAGAGACAGAAATATCCTGAATGAGTGTGTGTGTGACAGAGACAGAAATATCCTGAATGAGTGTGTGTGTGTGTGTGTGACAGAGACAAATATCTTGAATGAGTGTGTGTGTGTGACAGAGACAGAAATATCCTGAATGAGTGTGTGTGTGACAGAGACAGAAATATCCTGAATGAGTGTGTGTGTGTGTGTGACAGAGACAAATATCTTGAATGAGTGTGTGTGTGTGACAGAGACAGAAATATCCTGAATGAGTTTATGTGTGACAGAGACAGAAATACCCTGAATGAGTGTGTGTGACAGAGACAGAAATACCCTGAATAAGTGTGTGTGTGTGTGACAGAGACAGAAATATCCTGAATGAGTGTGTGTGTGACAGAGACAGAAATACCCTGAATGAGTGTGTGTGTGTGTGTGTGACAGAGACAGAAATATCCTGAATGAGTGTGTGTGTGACAGAGACAGAAATACCCTGAATGAGTGTGTGTGTGTGTGACAGAGACAGAAATACCCTGAATGAGTGTGCGTGTGACAGAGACAGAAATATCCTGAATGAGTGTGTGTGTGACAGAGACAGAAATATCCTGAATGAGTGTGTGTGTGTGTGTGTGACAGAGACAAATATCTTGAATGAGTGTGTGTGTGTGACAGAGACAGAAATATCCTGAATGAGTTTATGTGTGACAGAGACAGAAATACCCTGAATGAGTGTGTGTGACAGAGACAGAAATACCCTGAATAAGTGTGTGTGTGTGTGACAGAGACAGAAATATCCTGAATGAGTGTGTGTGTGACAGAGACAGAAATACCCTGAATGAGTGTGTGTGTGTGTGTGTGACAGAGACAGAAATATCCTGAATGAGTGTGTGTGTGACAGAGACAGAAATACCCTGAATGAGTGTGTGTGTGTGTGACAGAGACAGAAATACCCTGAATGAGTGTGCGTGTGACAGAGACAGAAATATCCTGAATGAGTGTGTGTGTGACAGAGACAGAAATACCCTGAATAAGTGTGTGTGTGACAGAGACAGAAATATCCTGAATGAGTGTGTGTGTGACAGAGACAGAATACCCTGAATGAGTGTGTGTGTGTGTGACAGAGACAGAAATATCCTGAATGAGTGTGTGTGTGACAGAGACAGAAATATCCTGAATGAGTGTGTGTGTGACAGAGACAGAAATATCCTGAATGAGTGTGTGTGTGTGACAGAGACAAATATCTTGAATGAGTGTGTGTGTGTGACAGAGACAGAAATATCCTGAATGAGTTTATGTGTGACAGAGACAGAAATACCCTGAATGAGTGTGTGTGACAGAGACAGAAATACCCTGAATAAGTGTGTGTGTGTGACAGAGACAGAAATATCCTGAATGAGTGTGTGTGTGACAGAGACAGAAATACCCTGAATGAGTGTGTGTGTGTGTGTGTGACAGAGACAGAAATATCCTGAATGAGTGTGTGTGTGACAGAGACAGAAATACCCTGAATGAGTGTGTGTGTGTGTGACAGAGACAGAAATATCCTGAATGAGTGTGCGTGTGACAGAGACAGAAATATCCTGAATGAGTGTGTGTGTGACAGAGACAGAAATACCCTGAATAAGTGTGTGTGTGTGTGACAGAGACAGAAATATCCTGAATGAGTGTGTGTGTGACAGAGACAGAAATACCCTGAATGAGTGTGTGTGTGTGTGACAGAGACAGAAATATCCTGAATGAGTGTGTGTGTGACAGAGACAGAAATACCCTGAATGAGTGTGTGTGTGACAGAGACAGAAATATCCTGAATGAGTGTGCGTGTGACAGAGACAGAAATATCCTGAATGAGTGTGTGTGTGACAGAGACAGAAATACCCTGAATGAGTGTGAGTGTGTGTGACAGAGACAGAAATACCCTGAATGAGTGTGTGTGTGAGAGACAGAAATATCCTGAATGAGTGTGTGTGTGTGTGTGTGACAGAGACAGAAACATCCTGAGTGTGTGTGTGTGTGTGTGAGCCGAGTGTCCTGGGGTTCACTCTGCGGCGGTCAGGTCAGATGAAGGAAGGACGGGCAGCGTGCACGGTGGGCAGGGCTGCGGGTGCAGGCTGGGCGCCCAGGGTACGTACGAAGTACTTCTCGGGGTAGTCCCGGAGGTGCAGCAGGCTCTGCGACACGGTCTTGCGGTCCTGCTCCCACTTGCGCGTGCAGAACACCATCTCGGTGAAGTACCACATCCAGCCGATGATCGGGACGTAGGCCAGCTCCTTCTTGGCCAGGACCTTGGAGCCCTGAAATGGAGGGGGTCCCGGGCGTCAGGGAACGCTAACGGGGATCCAACTAGAAACGAGGAGTGACGTTCACCCCGAGCACCCAGCGCAGGGAGCGGGAAGCCCCCGCGCAGAGGGCAGGCTGTGCTGGGCCTGCCCGTGTGGGTGGGGGCGTGGCCTGGCTCCCCGGGCAGGGGCCAGGGGCAGTCAGCAACATGAGGGTCTTGGGTGGTACCGGTCATGGGCTGTAAGAGTGCTTTAGCCAGCTCCTGTGGTCAGTCTCCCTTCCCCTCAGCCGCCCTGCCGGCTCCGCGGCCACACTGCTGTCCCTCACGGATGGGGCCGGGGCGGTGCCCCCTGGGGTTACCCTGGATCGCCAGGTCAGGCTGGGACTCTCAGCCTCCCCCTTTGCCTGCACCTCTCGGAGGTGGGGGCTGGCTCAGACCCAAGGATTTGGCTCACCGGCAGGCTGGGGCCCTGGGCTGCTGGGCAGGGCCCCTACCTAGCCAGCTGTGCCAGGGTGTCGGTCCGCCACCGACTGGGGAGACCAGGATCCAATGGGTACAGGGGGCAGGCAGCAGAGACACAAAAATAGCTTTTCATCTAGTGGGTTTGGGCTCTATATTTTCACCCTTACTTTTGGAATTGGCCAAGATGCTCCCTGAAATAGCCATCATCGGTCAATGGCGCAGGTGGCTGGGGCGGTGATGTGGACAGTCAGGGAGGCCTTCGCTGTGCTCCTGGTGACAGGCGTCTGGCTCTGCCCCAAACCTACAAGGCGTCTGCATGGCCCTCTCTCCTCTTCCCCATCACCTCATGAAAACCCACGTTCCCGTGCGGCAGAGGGGACCAGGGCTCACCCCTCTGGCCCACATACAGAAGGGAGAAAGACCGACAGCCGTTGCTCTCTTCCCCATAGAGGGAAGAAAAAGCCTAGACATCTTCACGTTTAGTGTCTCCATGTTTTGATGGGTTTTGCACCCCCCCCCCCCAATCCAACGTGCAAATTCCCGCACAGAGAACCAAGCCATGTGGGTCAGAGAGCTGGTCATGCGTGGGGCTGCCCTCGGGCCAGGCACCGGCTGCACATTTTCGGTAAATGCCATTCAGCTCTGAACCCATAGGAATAGGTTGTCCATGTTACAGGCGATCAAACTGAGGCTCAGAGATGCTAAGGAACTTGCCCAGCATCACACAGCTAACAACTGGGGAAGCTGAGAAGTCAGGCAGAGTCCATGGTAAATGGTAATGAATGTCCCTGTCAGATGCTGGGCCCCCTACCCAACAGCCTCTGTCCCCTCCCCTTCCATCGACCTCCATTGTGTTCTAAAGGCCACGACATGCTCAGGCTCCGGGGTGACCGTGAGTGATGTCAGCCCAGTGTCCCCGGACCTCTGAGCTTAGTGTGGCCACAGGACCCAGTTCTGGCCAAGGTGACTCCGAGGTCCGCTGGGAGGGGGGCCCTATGTTCTGGGGCTTCTGGGAAGAATTGAGTCCCTGAGAAAAGGTCAGATGTCCAGAAGGCCTGGCTGGTTTTTCTGCCATGAACACAGTCACGCAGCCACCCCAAGACAGAGACCTAGAAATGCGGGACCATGGGGGCCGCCCCTGCGGGAGACCATGGCCGCAGCCCCGTGGCACCCTGAGGCACGTCTGCAGGCTGCGGCCACTGGAGTCGGGGTTCACGCAGGTTTCCAGCCGACGGGGGCCTGAAGCAGACCTGGGGCGGCGTCTGTCACGTGACTGCCAAAAAGTGCCCGTCTTCAGCTCCTCTCTTTCACCGTGGGGTTCAAGTCCTGAGACGTGGACTAATTCTCCTGACTCCTGCCTTGTTGTGCCATCAAAGAGAGGGACATGCCTGTCACTCCGGGGCAGGACAACACATGGCCTGGGACGTGCCCCTTTCCCCACAGGACCATCTGAGTCCCGCACCGTGCCCTCGGGGTTCCTGTCCCTCCGCCCTCCTCCTCTGTGGGCAGCGATGCCCCTGGGGCTCTGCTCCCTTCCTGTCTGTCACCTCCCTATTTTCAGCCTCCAAGACGGAAACAAGACAAAAAGCCTTCACCAACGACCTGAACTTCCCTTCCTGATGGGTTAAGACTTTTAAAGAATTACCTACACCTGCGCTCATCCCAGAACTAATGTGTGACAACATGGCAGTTATAAAGGAGGGCTCTGTCGCCAGGAGGGGCTGTGTGCCCCAGGAGCAGCCTTGGGTCTGGGAGCGGGGTGCCCGGTGCCAGGGCACGCTGTCTGCTGGGGAAAGTGCTCTCGGCCGTCCCTGCCCACGGCCCATCCCCCCCAGCCCCGTGGGTCTCAGTGGCTGGCCTTGGATGACCTGCTGAAAGGAAATAGCAGCTTGGACAGAGGTGGGCTGAGTGCAGACCCGAGGTGACTCGCGGTCTGAATGCCCACCCTGTTTTACCGCCTTAGACCGAGCCCTGAAAGCCACTGGGGCGCCCCCGGCGAATCGATGGATGAGCCACGCACACGACACCGGACAGTGCACAGCACAAGCCTGTCGGCCCAGGGCAGCGACTGTGCGGTGGGTGTGCCCGGCTCGCCTCCCGTGTGTGTAAGTGAAGTGTTATCACAACACGGTGACTTCACGTGCCCGTGGCCCCCGCTGTTCCCAGGCCGTGGTGGCGGAGCTGCGTGGTTGTGACGGGGGCAGGTCACTAGGTTCACACAGACAAATACGCACTGTGAGTGTCACTGTCAGCCTGGCCCTGGTGCCACTCGCATTTGTTTTCGGTGAATATTGAATGGCTGGGGAAATGGCGATTTTATAATACTACGTTTTTATTTTTTTTTAAATATGTTTTTATTGATTTTCTAGAGAGAGGAAGGGAGAGAGTGATAGAAACATCGATGCGAGAAACACAGATCCGCTGCCTCCTGCGCGCCCCCTACTGGGGACTGAGCCCGCAACCCGGGCATGTGCCCTGACCTGGAATCGAACCGGGACCGCTCAGTCCCTGGGACAATGCTCAGTCCACTGAGCCACACCAGCCGAGCTGTAATACTACACTTTCTTTCTTTTTTTTTTTTTATCCTCACCCGAGGACATTTTTGCATTTTTTGTTCAGACAGAGTGGGAGGGAGAGAGAGGAAGAGAGAGAGAGAAACATCAACGTGAAAGCGACACATCGAGTGGCTGCCACCCACACGACCCAACCAGGGCCGGGGACAAACTGCAACCGAGGTACATGCCCTTAGCGGAACTGAACCCGGGTCTCTCTGTACCGCAGGCCGACGCTCTAACCGCTGAGCCAAACCGGCCAGGGCTGTAATACTACACTTTCAAAAGACCTGTCGTCAAAGCTGAGTTTACAGCCGATGGGAAAAGAGTAAAATAGTGAAAAATAACAGTACCTACAGCTAGGTGGTCAGATTCAAAATGATTTTAAAATTCTATTAATAAAATGTGCCGTCAGAAAAATAGTTCCCAGTGTCCCTCTCACAACGTCACTGCTAAGAGGTGGTGACATCAGCCCACTTTTCTTCTGGGACACAGTGAGGCTGAGCATCAAACACAGCCCATGGGCCCGGGCTGTTTTGCTCAGTGGTTAGAACATCGGCTCTTGGGTTCGATTTCCTGTCAAGCGCATGTACCTGGGTTGCAGGTTCGACACCAGGCCCGGTCGGGGTTGTGCAGGAGGCAACCAGTCGATGTGTCTCTCTCACATCCGTGTTAGTCTCTCTTGCTCTCTCCCTCCCTCCCTCCCTTCCACTCTCTCTAAAAATCAGTGGGGGAATATCCTCGGGTGAGGATTAGCCACAACAACAACAATGGCCTGTTGGTTTCTGATGATCAGAAAGAACACAGGAGACATTTCTGAGTTTATGTTTAATTGACGTGACTCTCAACCTTAACCCTGTGGAAGTTACCGTTAGGCCTAGGCCTTGATGTCAATCATGTTCACTTGGTAAAATAAATCTTTTCAATAGGAGGGCACACACTTTTACCGTCCAAATCAAAAACTTGACCAGATGCCCCGCCCTCAGCAGGGGACGCAGGACGTCGTGAAAAGCTTCCCAATCAGCAGCCCCGTTTATTCCGGCTCTGCCTTGGCCGGCTGTGTGCCGGGTACCCCTCAGCTTCTGCGGCCGCGTGATGAGGAAAATGACACCTCAGAGTGTTGCTGTAAAGACTGAATAACGCGTGGACACACAAAAGCTCAGGCTGCCAGCCCGACACGCGGTGCTAAATCGTGTGCAGCGATTGTGATCACGGGAGTGAGCCCGGTGGCCGAACGTTTCTGAATTCAACCTGACACGAGCAGAGCAAGGACAACAGGCCAGGTAGAGAAGGTCGCCAGGGCACAGAGCCCGGGTGCCCAGCAAGGGGCAAACTGGGAAAACCAGGACCACACCCCCAGGGTAACCTTCCCTCCCGAGCACATCACTGGTCATGCGGTTTGGACCCCTGACCTTTCCCTCCCTGAATGTAACACGTAGGCTTCGCTTGTATTTCAGCTCCAGGCCCAGAAAAGCAGCAAAACCAGACAAGTGACACTGTGGCTGCCTCAGGACCAGCTGCACTGACTCATGACCCCCTGGCTTCAACCAGTCAGCAGAGACCAGGACCCTGAGAAGCACACCTGGAGCTAAGAACACTCTACTGAGACCTTCCCCGGAGACCTCCCTAACTTCCCCCTGCAGGAGAGAGAGATGCCTCAGTGCACAGGACCCAGCCTGGGGAGCACACCCACGCCAGTCCCTGCGCCCTTCTTCCCCGAGGGACCAGGAGACTCGCAGCCAGGGGAGCAGTGGGCGGCGGCAGCTCGTCCCGGGCTCACCCCTGCACCTGTCTCCAGGGCCCTCTCTCGGCCTCCCCAGTGAGCCAGGGCAGCGCCTGCTCTCCCCCTGCACCTGTCTCCAGGGCCCTCTCTCAGCCTCCCCAGTGAGCCAGGGCAGCACCTGCTCTCCCTGCACCTGTCCCCAGGCCCCTCTCTCTCCTCCCCAGTGAGCCAGGGCAGCGCCTGCTCTCCCCCTGCACCTGTCTCCAGGCCCCTCTC